AGATCGAGGCGCAACACGACGAACCGCACTATGATCTCCCAACGGAATCCATTCCACCAAGTCCGCATCCGTCAAGATCCGAGGCGCCTCATGAAGACGAAGGCGCAGCTCAGCCCAAGTACAGAATGCGAAGGCCGGCGCCACCATCCAGTGAAGAAGAGAGAAAAATCAAGCCATTCGCGAAGAAGCCCATAACGTTCATGTTCCACGCAACCTATGGAAATCAGCTCCTCAGCATCGTGGAGAACGGGCTCAGATCTGAAATCCCAGTCAAACCCTTTGGGGAGAATGCGCACCCATCTTGATGACGATGAGTCAGAAGCAGCGCTAACACATGTGCCAGCAGGAAGAGATGCATTGATCCTTGCATTCCTCAAGGACTATGGCATCCGACCCTCCGAAGAGCAAACAGCGCTGACAGATCAAACCATCGAGGAGAATATTGTTGCAGCATTTGAACCTGATGGCAGCGTCATGGTGAGCAACAAGTGAATCATGAAGAAGCATCTCAGTTATGAAGATTTTGAGATGTACGACACCAAGATCCGTGAATTCGCCGATGCCTTCTTCAGTTATGTGAATTCCAACAAACACGGCAAGGAAAAAGATACTTCCTCAGAGACCAAGAAGCGACGGCGCTCCACCGATCAGAACGAAGCTGAAGAGGAGACCATGGAACCCTCCGGGAAGAGATCCGTCAAGCCAAAGGTCACCGTGGAATATCACAATTCAGAGAACCTAGACGAGTTTGGAAAAGTGCAACAAAGATCCAAGAAGAGCTCATCCCAAATTGACAGGGTGCGAGAGAGCCTCATTGGCACACGTCGATCCAGATGTCAATCTTGGAGAAGAAGAATTCTACTTCCGTCATCGAGGAGAAGTCCCACCATACCATGGACGAGTGCAGGCAGGCGCAACCAGTATCCTATCAAGCTTCCACTTGGATTGAAGAAGCTCAGGTCACATGATATATCCTGGGATCGCTGATGCAGCCGACTGACCGTCCCCCTGTGGAATATCTCAAGACGCATGAGTTCACTTCATCCCTGGCGATCAACATGCTTACCTTGAACCATGGAATCCTCACGAGGAATCAGGCAACGCAACTTTGAGAGATCCAAGCAGTACCTCAAGAAGAAGCAATCCTGGACCCTGCAGGAGTGCAAGGACGACAGCAAGCAGTGGGGACATCATGGAAGGACTATGGCGACTCGACCTGGAATGATTATGGAGACTATGGCAGTCAATCCGACAGCAGCCGTCAGTGGTATTATTGATCCGACTGACCAGGAAGATTCTCACCGCCAACAAGACTATACAGTGAGAGATCAATCGTTTCACATTCGTGCTGCGTGTACATAGTGTTGTGCATCACCTGTTGATACATCTAGGTATCTCAGAAGCAGTACAGAAGTCAAGACATATCATCCGCGCAGAAAAGAGGATGAGTCCGGCATTTTAACACACATGGCTACGGCATAAAACAAGGCTACGGCCAAAGGCCATGACGCCAATAGTATTTCGTATCTAGTGCTGGAGATCAAAAGAAATTTGTGTCTGTTTTGTGTTTGGTTTGTTACACAATTGATCTCCCGCAACCATTTGGCTCAGGCCCTTCTGTATCATAGCAATACTCATGATTGCGTGACAAAAGGAACCTTAGCAGGCCGCTCGCAGGATTTTACATCCAATCCAGGGACCTAAACAACGACCTCTACTACCACAACGGTACCAGTTCCCTTCTGGGATAGGTACCCTGGCAGTGGGCCTCAACCCCCCCCCCCCACCCCCCCTCCACTGTGCACGCGGGACGCGCGCGCCTGCGCAGTCGAAATGCACTTTTTATGTGCAAACATGCGCGAAATACTGCGCAGGCCATACGAAACCAGGTTCCTTCCGAGGGGTCGTTTTGCGCGTTTACATGGGGTTGGGGCCAACAACAACAACAACAACAACAACAACAACAACAACCGCAACAGCAACAACGGCAACAGCAACAGGAACATCAACAACAACAGCAACAGCAACGGCAACAGCAACAACAACAGCAACAGCAGCAACAGCAACAACAGCAACAACGGCAACAGCAGCAACAATTGCAACAAGAGCAACCGCAGCAACAACAACCACGACAACAACAGCCACAACAGCAACAACAATAACAACAACAGCAACAGCGACAACAACAACAGCAACAGCAACAGCAACAGCAACAGCAACAGCAGCAGCAACAGCAACAGCAACAGCAACAGCGACAGCAACGGCAACGGCAACGGCAACAGCAGCAACAGCAGCAACAGCAGCAACAGCAGCAACAGCAACAACAGCAACAACAGCAACAACAGCAACAACAGCAACAACAGCAACAACAATAACAACAATAACAACAATAACAATAATAACAACAAAAACAACGGCCGGACGTGGCGGTAACGCGCGCCGGCAAACACGGTTCATGGGGGAAAACAAGAGATTTTGCCCAGCGGGTCGGCGCTGCCCTGCGCAGTACGAAATAAGGCTCGTGCTCCTGAGCAGGATGCTCTTTTCCGTGAACACGCAAAACATGAATTATTCAAAACTGCTGGCCCTGCCAACGAAAACATACATTTTCGGTACAGCCAATTTTCAACAGCAACTTTCACGAGCGCCAGCATGTAAGCTTCATCCCAAAATCTGTGTTTTCCTTGGCAGGGCCAGCAGTTTTCAGCGTGGCAATTTTGAAGTTGTCAAAGGCGTCCTGTCCAGGAGCACGAGCCCTAGTTCGTACTGCGCAGGCCAGCGTTTTGGCACCCCGGGCAATAGGTAAGTTCCAGCAGCAGAAACAGCAACAACACCTTCAACAAGAACTAACAAACGGCGCCAGCCACAGACAGTACAAACAGAACCCACTGCAACAACACTAACAGTCGCACACGCAGGCATGTGCTTTCCATGTGGCAGGCATGTGTGCAGTGCTGCACGGACTCAGCTGAACAGGTGTGCCTACCATTTGGCAGGCGTGTGTGCAGTGCTGCACACACCCGTTCAACTGAGTCCGTGCAGAGTGGTAAGCACACCCCCGTGCAGCACTGCACACATGCCTGCCAAATGGTAAGCACACCCGTTCAACTGAGTCCGCGCAGCACTGCGCACATGCCTGCCAAATGGTAAGCGCACCCGTTCAACTGAGTGCGTGCAGCGCTGCGCACACGCCTGCCAAATGGTAAGCACACCCGTTCAACTGAGTCCGTGCAGCGCTGCACACATGCCTGCCAAATGGTAAGCGCACCCGTTCAACTGAGTCCGTGCAGCGCTGCGCACATGCCTGCCAAATGGTAAAGACCCGTTCAAGTGAGTCCGCGCAGCACTGCACACATGCCTACCAAATGGTAAGCGCACCCGTTCAACTGAGTCCGTGCAGCACTGCACACATGCCTGCCAAATGGTAAGCACACCCGTTCAACTGAGTCCGTGCAGCGCTGCACACATGCCTGCCAAATGGTAAGCGCACCCGTTCAACTGAGTCCGTGCAGCGCTGCGCACATGCCTGCCAAATGGTAAAGACCCGTTCAAGTGAGTCCGCGCAGCACTGCACACATGCCTACCAAATGGTAAGCGCACCCGTTCAACTGAGTCCGTGCAGCACTGCACACATGCCTGCCAAATGGTAAGCACACCCGTTCAACTGAGTCCGCTTACCATTTGGCAGGCATGTGTGCAGTGCTGCACGGACTCAGTTGAACGGGTGTGCTTACCATGTGTGCAGTGCTGCACGGACTCAGTTGAACGGGTGTGCTTACCATTTGGTAGGCATGTGTGCAGTGCTGCGCGGACTCAGTTGAACGGGTGTGCTTACCATTTGGCAGGCATGTGTGCAGTGCTGCACGGACTCAGTTGAACGGGTGTGGTTACCATTTGGCAGGCATGTGTGCAGTGCTGCACGGACTCAGTTGAACGGGTGTGCTTACCATTTGGCAGGCATGTGTGCAGTGCCGCACGGACTCAGTTGAACGGGTGTGCTTACCATTTGGCAGGCATGTGTGCAGTGCTGCGCGGACTCAGTTGAACGGGTTTGCTTACCATTTGGCCACTCCGACATTGGCCCTTTTCAAAGCGGAAACGTTCATGTCGTTTCAAGGTTCATGTCGTTTCACGTCGTTTCTTCGGGTTTGAGGGTTTAGGGTTTGACGTGTAGGCTTTAGGGTTTCACCCGCAGAAACACGACCCGTCTTACGAAACACTGCGCAGGTGCAGTGCAATTGCGTGTCTGTTGCTGCAGATTGTTGAATCTTCCACGCAGGCCACGCGAAAAACATCCACCCATGGTTGCGAAAACGGGGCGCAGCCTGTTTTCGGGAAACGACGCGCTCGTGCAGTCGAAGCAATGTTTGTTGGCTGGGAGTTGCTGAATCTCCCACGCAGGCCACGCGAAAAACATGGCTCAAAAGTGACGAAAACGCGCGTTTTCGTCACGTCCGAGCCAATAACAACAACAGCAACAGCAACAGCAACAGCAGCAACAACAGCAACAGCAACAACAGCAACAACAGCAACAACAACAAGAACGACAACAACAAACAATACATACCAAACAACACACAACCACAAACAACAATCAACAAAGAACAGACAACAAACTCCACGCAACAAGCAACAGACACCACGAAACAACCAACTAACCAACTGACCGACCAACCAACCAACCAGCCAGCCAGCCAGCCAGCCAAGCAAGCGAGAAAGCACGCAAGCAAGCAACCAAACAAAAACAAGACAAACTAACCAAACAAGTCAGCAAAGCCAACCGGCAAACAAACAAAGACACAATCAGATGTGGCTTTTGCTGATGGGACGCCCACTTTTTGACCTAATCCCACGCTACATCTAAAACATGCGGCAAGCGAGCGGGTTCTATATGGTCACAAATGATGATCATAAAGGAGTGAAACACTTGTTGCCACTGCCAGTCCCTCACCCGAACCGGGCGTCAATCATGAATTGGCAAACGCATGGATCGTGCAACAGGTTGATTGTCAAGCACGTGAAGGTTGATTGAGCAGCTGATTGTCCAATTTTCTCGGCAGCGTTTGGCTTGAGGTTCCGTGAAGCGAGCTCGCGAAGCAACATGACCATTTTGACGTTGGGCGTGTCTGTGATTGAGTTCGTGGCTTGGCATGTCCTTTTTGGTGCTCTTCATGAAGTGGGCCACGTGCTCGTGGCATGCCTAGTGGGTTGTGTGCCAACCTGGACTTGGGCGAATTTCATGAGTGCACTTACTATGCGGAAGGTACACATTTTGACCATCGGATGGGAGACAAACGTGGTGCGCAACGCGGGGTGGATGGCGTCTTTGGCAATCGCCTGGCTCTCCTTCCATTTTCTCGGTGGACTTGCGCAGGCAGCAGCTTCGTTGACAGCGCTGGAAGCGTTTGTCTCTGATGGTTTGCAGCTACTTGGTTGCTCGCAGGGCTGGTTTGGCTGTGGCAACTTCGGCCTTGTTTTGCTCAATGCAGCTTGGGCATCCACACCCAAGGAGGTGAAGGACATATTAGAGACCATGGTGGAAGTTACGATGATGCGTGGTGCTCAAAGTGGAGGTGTGGTGACATATGCCTGGTCCGGTGATGACCTGATGGGATTGCGTGCGCGTGTGGTGAACCAGAAGCGAACCTGTTTGTCCGAGCTGGTCCGATCGAAGCTGAACGCCGTAGAGCGTTGGGCTTGGCTTCGATGCCGAAATTTTCAAGGCTTTGGCCGGATCTATGCGGGGCACACCCGCTTCGCGACCAGCTCAAAGGCCACCTTTGAAGGCACCCACCCCCACCAGTGGTCCCCACCTGAGACGCACCAGGTCTACGTGGGCTGGGCGGAGGGCCAGCTGCGCAAAGTGCGGCGCAGGCTGGAAGTGTTCATTACGCACAACGGGGACTTGGACTTCTTTGACGTGGGAGACAGGACCTATGACTTGTCAGCGATCCAAAGCTGGCTTGAGCGTGCCACAGGGCACTCCAGGCCATGTGATGTGGACTCGGTCGCCATTGCAGGACTCATGGACATGCTACGCACTCAGGGTTGCTTGGTGCGCAGCGTGCGTTTTGGCTTCCACTTTGGGCCCATCCGCCACACCCTTCAGTACCCGGTGCCTCCCCCAAGCTTCTTTCAGCAGGTTGCCAGCTGCATGGACAAGGTTTTTCAGCAGGAGCTCATTGAGAGCAAAAGGTTGGGAGACCTCAACACCCGGCGCAAGGACTTGTGTCGCCTGTGCCTCGAGGCAGTGCAGGGGAACGTAAAGTTCCCTATGGCCGAGACCGATCTTGAAAAGACGGTGCACGCGGCGGTGAGCGCGTTCTTCGACAACGACTTGCTCTACGCCATGCAGCTCTTCATGGGCCGCGCCAAGGGCTCCTTCGGCCTCTGCGTGACTTCGTCGCTGGACGCGGATCGGCAGCTGGCGCTGGCGGCTCGGGGGCAGACCATCTCCGTGGCCTTCTACCCGGAGAGCGGCTTGGTGCTCTATGGCTCTGAGGCCTCGGCCGTGAAGGCTGCCATTGGTAAGAAGATGGCCTCGGCCCAGCCAGGAGAGGGTTTTGGCGTGTCTCCTAACGCTTGGGGTGTGATTTTCCGGGCGCAGGTGAGGATTTTCAAGGTAATCCTTAGGATTCGCCGGGTTCGCCGGGTGTAATCTCAGGATTCCAACTAGAGCCCTGCAGGAGAGCTCCCTGCGCAAAGGCGCATGAGCAGCATCTTCGGCACCGGGAGCGTTGGGCTGTCGTCCTTTGAAGTCGATCCCAAGCTGGCCGTGCTGAACGATACCCCGGAGAAGGCCTATGCCAAGGTGGCTAGCCCTGATAAGGTCTACACTACGGCAGAGGCAACTTGGCAATGTCAAGCAGTGTGGGCCTTTGTTTCACAATGAGGCGAGCACAGTATGCTCGAGCGTTCATTGTTGGCACTTTTAGTTTTGGCATTCGACATGGACCGTAGCCGAGGCGAAGTCCTTGATCAACGATGGATGTGCAATGCGCCTGGACTTGGATGATCTTGGCGGGGAGATCTGCCTGTTGGACTGGGGCTCTGGGCACCCTTTTACTGCCCTTGAGCACAGGATGCTGAAGCCGCAAGCGGTCATGCGCAACACGATGACTGTGACCTTGATCCGCGAAAGTCTGATTCAGCGGAGCTTTCGCAAGCGGCTTTTGCCTCTTGAGGACAATCCCATGGTACAGCCACTTCCCAAGATGCTTTCAGAGCCCGTGGGTCAAGATATCAAGGACATCCCGGATGTGTTGAAGGATATCCAGACGGAATGGAAGGCTGGGGGGGTGAACCGTTCAACTGCCTGGGCCATGGGTCGAGTTCTGCGAGCTCGCCTTCAAGAGAAGAAAGCAGGGCGAGTGGGCGCTGATGCAGTTGACCTACTCATTACCGGCTGTGAGGTAAGCCTTTGGCTGGGCGAGCAGCTGGTGGCTGACTTGGGGCTTTGCTTCAAGCATCTGGTGGTGAAGTCCATTTCGGCCAACAAGATCCTTGGGATGAACGGCTTGGATCCGCCCATGCCACAGGTAGGTCATGCTTGCAACTGGGAGCTGCAGGGCTGCGTCGTTCTGCTCCTGAGTCATAGTGGGGGGACCTTTGCCACACTGAATGTCTCCAACCTGCTTCAGGCGCAAGGGGCCAATGAGATCGCAGGCTCTAAAACTCGGAACCCTTTCTTTCGGAACCCTCAAACAAGGACTCACTCACCTTCACCAGAGAGGGGTTTTGAGTTTTGAGGCGGTGACGAAGAATCTCTTCGTGGTGACCTCCGAGTGGGACACTCAAATCGGTAAGCAGCTGCGCCAGATCGACGACACCAGCCGCATCTTCAATACGGGCGTCGGGTTGCGACCTGCCGAGCCTTGTTCTTTGTCGGTGGCGGCCATGCACCAGCTGCTGACGCAGATCTTGGTTTACATTGCTGCGACAATCCTCGAGGACAAGTTCTTTGAGCCTTTTCTTTTTCCCTGTTGACTTTCTGGCTGTTGTTGCTTATGAAGCAAGGGACATTTGTTCAACTCTCCCAAAGGTCCCCCCTGGTTGAGGATCGAGAACTGTGCCAGACCGCGGGCGCCGTGGTCCAGCGCAAGGATCTGGCAGAGTTGGAGCGCTGCAATGGCATGAACATCAGCGCACTGGCCGAGATTGTGGGTCAGGGCGGACCCACAGAGACAGTGAAACAGCTCAGAGGCAAGGGTCGTCGCTGGGCGCAGCATGTGCTGGAAGGTCCCCGCGCGTGGATCCTCTGCGCGCTCTATATCTTCATCACAGTGACGCTTGGGCAAGCTCCAGTGACGCTCATTTGCGAGCATGCAGGCCTTTATGAGGTACACGAGGATGGGTTGGGCAAAGAATGCGGTGCCTTGTTGATCAGTAATCTTCTAGGCCGTAGTTTCCAGTCATCTCCTGCGGATGTTGCTTCAAGCAACCAGGGCGATGCTTGCTGTTTAAGTCTTAGTTGCTCGTAAGATGAATCATTCTAAAATGGCTTCTCTCCTTGTGGAAATTCGACAAGGACACAGGGGAATTTGTTCCTAAGAAGGCTCAAGAGGCATAACCTTCGTCCTGGCAGTGTATGTTTCAAAGTTGTATCGCGCATGTGGAACAAAAGCAAGTTAGAGGATAAACATATCACACACACACACACACACACACGTACATTTCTCAAAATTGTTGTCTTACTTCTTTGTCATCCTCCTGCTCCTTGCGTTTCTGTTTAAGCTTTGGCGTGTCCAGCTTGGCATCTCTGCGGGATTTGGGTATCAAGTGGGGAAGCTCACTTCCGGGAGGATCTCGCATATGCAGCGCGAGCACTGGACGCCCTGCTGTACATTTTCCTTCCCCAGCTGTCCATGCTGCTGATTCGCCTGGTGCAGCGGCGGCCGCTGCTGCATCGCATGACCGGGCGCACGGTGGTCATTGGGGATGTGCCCTGGGTGGCTCAATCAGCTGAGGCACCGAGTACGAATGGGTTCAATTTGGGATGGTAGAAGCAAGTGGCTCAACATTGCATCTTTCCTTTACAACCTGTCATGTGTTTAAGGGTTTTCCATTTTGAGCCTGAGCCAAGTGACGCGGTCTGACTGTGTCGTGCGGCATTCGAATTGAGTTTCGAAGCAAAACGCAGGCTTTCCTCTCCAAGCTGGTAGCCTGCTCCTACTCGGCGGCAAGCCTTAACGTTTTGTCCGGGAATCCTGCAGATCACCTCGTGCACCGAATGACGCACCGCGTGGTGCGTGGCACGCTGCTGGCTTGCGGCCGCCCAGACGGTCGATTAATCTCATTGAGCGGTGCCGAGCAAGCAGCTCCTTGGCGTAGAAAACACACCCAAATTGTTGTATGCAATCACTCGTTTAAAGGATTAGGTGGCCGTGGGTCAAAACCAATGGTACCATTTTTGGGTAGGTGCACCACCCATTTTAATCTATTTTAGTTGGGGATTGGGATGTTCGCTGGGGGTACGGGATTTTGACCCATGGCCAGGTCACCATCTTCACAGGAGGGTTGTTCAAAATGGGGGTGCCCGTTTTGGGACCCGTTTTGGGACCCACTGTTTTCGCGGGCAAACCAGAGGGAACCGGGGTGCACAAAGAGGCAAGCCTAGTTTGATCATGTTGCCCCTCCTCCTCCACCCAGCGAATCTAGCAGTTCCTTCAATTTCCCGCCGGTAGATCACGAAGGGAAGGTACGCTCAATTCACCACTTGCACATGGGCGTTTCTGCCATACTGTTTTCGACGTTCCTCCCGAGCAATAGCTGCAAGACCAGTTGCAAGTGATTGTTGAACAGAGACTGAGTGGAAGTAAGTAGGTAGTAGATAGAAGCTGTAATTGTGCAGCATACATAGATCCAAAATTGCACTGAGCTGCACTTTTGAATTGAAGGTCGTTGCCTGCCTCTTCTACGGTCGCCTGGTCAGAGTCGTGACATGCTTATCATGTCCCATTTTCAGAGTGCCTCCAACATTGAGAGCCCCAGCATGGCAATCTCCCTCAAACTTGATGTGGGAGTTTCGCAACATGGATTTCGGACTCCTTTCGGTTGGCGCTTTTACTTGGGAAGCCCAAAGGGCGGGTGGAAAATTCTCCCGCCGGTCTCAGGTGTGCTTGGCCGTGAACCAGGCCAGCTCGATCCAATCCATGGGAGAGACCTGCGAGAGCCTCACCATCGGGCACAACCCCTTCAAGCTGCCGCTGGCTGAGGCGGTTTTCCTCAAGGGCAACCGGCCCAAGTATTTGTTCGAGACCGCCAGCAGCAGAGACGAGTCCATGAGTCCCACAGCGCTCCTTGGGGAGTTCTCCAACTTCCGACAGGCCCGGAAGGGCAAGGCGGATGAGGACGAGCCGGATTGGATGCACGATGCCACATTTACTCGGCTGCAGCACGCTGCTTTTCAAAGGCAGGTGTCCGTTGATATGCAGGAGAAGGCTCGTGCAGAGGCGGACACTTTGCAGTTGGACGCTGATGGGCATGTGAGCTTCAAGGAGTTTGAGAGGGGCTTCCGGCGCTTGCGCAAGGACCGAATTGACAGGAAGGGACTCATGAAGATCTTCGAGCGCTTTGACACCAACTACGAAGGAGCTTTGCACCCTGTGGACTGCAAAGCCATTTACCGAATGGACTTGACTTCTCTACTCTCGCTGGTGGAGGGTGCGCATCCACGAGTGAAGATGGGCCTGCTGAAAGTGCAAGAGTCTGTTGAGGAAGTCTTTGGTGAACAGCTTGTCCAGGAGCACCCGGAGCGACATGCTCAGATTGTGGAGACGCAGTTCCTCTCCATGCACCTTTACGAGAGCCGGATTGCCTCCTTGCAACGTGCAGTTGCATTCTTCGTGATGTTTCACGAGATGGGCAAGACGATTGCGAACTTTTGGCCCTGGGTGAGCTTTGGCTTGCTGCGATATCGCATGGATCGCACCCACTCCATTATGCGCATTGCTACAACAGCGTCGCCCGTTTCGGGTGCGGAAGTGCGACAGAAGATGGTCGACCTCAAAGCGGAGAGGCAGCTGATTTCGCTCCAGGCTATTATCAACAAGTTTGCTCAGCGCTGGCGCGCTCAGCATGCGAAACGTGCACAAGAGGTGCTCTCATTCTAGCTAATCTTGTTTTTTCTGACAAGTAATCGAGCTTGGGTCCACGCCCCAAGCTCTCTTTTACCCTGGGTTGTGCCTGCCATAGGCATTTGCACCCCGTTTTTTTGCTTGATTACTCCATCGCACTCGCAGGAACGGCTGCACACTAGACGAATGTTTGCCAACATTTGGGATCTCCGGCGGCAGATCCGCATTTGAAACCCCGACCAAAAGCGGTGCCGATGCGTCGCGCGTGAGTTTTCGTTCCAGCGCTTGAGAGCCCACTCTGAAAATGACCAGGGGTCATCATAGAATTTTCTTTGTTGATTGCTTCTTGCTGAACAGGTGTTCTCCACTTGCTTCCATTTGTTGATGTGGTCGTGTATGGATTTACATGTATGATATGGCCTCTCGAGTGCAAATAACATGGACATGCAGAGTTTCAGGAAAGGCACTACTGAGCACTTGGATTGCAACTCCTCGAGCACAAGCAAGGACATGCAGCTGTGAATTGTGGCAGGGATGGCCTTTGATCCCAACACTGATCAGTGCCCATCGTCCGTAGGTTTATTCAGCATGCACTTAGTGCCATGGCGCAAGATGGCTCGCCCCAGGATGCTGCAGGCAATGGGCGGGGCAGGTCTGGGACGGTATTGCTGGGACCGTTGGACACTTGACAACACCCTAAAGCACATGGTGTGATATGACGAGTTCAACGATTCGGATTAAAGAACTCAGGATGAAACCCCGCGCATTCGGCACGCTCGCAGCTGAGGTAGCGACTTGCAACTTTCCAGCAGCGGTCCCTTCGGCCTAGAAGGCTACCGCGAGCGAGCGGTGTGTGTTTCTTTGAGGATTCCTTTTGCGGGTGGTTTTTGAAAGGGAAACCAAGAGGAAGACAAGCATCATACTCAAGTGTTTGGGTCTTTCGATTGTGACTTGTCCTAATTTGGGCACAGACAAGAAACAAGCAACTCCTAAATGCTCGTGCATGGGATGTCCCATGTCTGAAATTAGAATACATGTGCATGCCGCGAATTCATGCCACATTTTCACAATGCGACTTGGCCATGTTGTTGTTTGCTTAAGCCTCAAAAGTGGTTACATAAGGGGCCTGTCTATGAAAAAGACACCCACTTGGGTGTTTCTCAAAAGAGGAAATGGACCCCTTTCAGACACCTCCCCCCAACAAAATAAACAATATAAAAGAAAGCAGTGGAGTGGGTCCCCCCCCCCCCCCCTGCATGTTTTCAGAGAACGCCGACTGTGGGGCTTACAGTCCGTCGGGCGATCCCCCGTGAGGCTCCTGGGGCTCGGAGGACCTGGCGCAGCTGGGGCAGCGCTTCACCCGCCCAGACCGCAAAGCGCCGGAAGGCGCCAAAAACGGCGGCATGTCCGGCGGCATCGAAAGGGTGCTCTGTGTGTGTGTGTGTGCTCTGCTCGGGGGGGGGGGTTCTTTTGGTTGTTTTGGTCGAACAACGAAAAATAGAGGGCGATTCCTGGTTCACCTCATGGCTTAATCAGCTACCAGGGCCATCTATTTCCCCCAAAAGCCTAAAATAACACCTATGGCTGTGTGTGTCTGGGGGGGGGGGCTTCAAGCAAGGGGATTTGGTCCCCTCCAAAATGGATTGGTTAATAGGGAATGTGGCACCAAACGTGGGAGGTTGCGATCTTCGTTGTGGTTTCCCAAAGGTGACAAAGGATGCTCTTGAAAGAAAGAAAGATAGGTTTCCCGGCTGTGCAAATCGGTCGGTAGATCATCGAGTCGTTAGGCAGATCCATGTCAAGCTTCCTGGATGCCGGGCACTCAGATGATGCCAGGATTTGTGAGGGTGCTGATAGTTTGCGTGTCTTTACATGCGCAGGAGAGAGAACTCATTATGACTGCCATTTTGGTGCAGGAGTGAACAGGGGTCGATTTTTGTTTGGTTTTCGAAGCAGGCTGTTCTGCTTTTTCTTCGGTCCGAAGCCCTAACACCAGATTCATTTTCCCACGGCTGGGAACACGAATATTGACAGCGCAAAGTTTAAGAAAAGGCCATGAATGGAAGTTGAGTGCTATTCCCACACATTGAGAAGCGCATGGTGATTTTGTTGTCGGACAAGTTCTAATTGCTTATCCTTTTGGAAGAACTGAGCCCGCCGGAAAACCAAGGATTCCGGTGTGGGATTTCCGCGTGGCAGGCACATGTCTGAAAACTGGCTCAACAAGCCTAGCAAGTTTTGCATTTTCTATTGAATGATAAAGCACCATCAATGAATCACATCTACTGTATTCATTGAGGAATGAAGCATCCTCTTTCTGACTGTTTGTTCTGATCGACAATCATGCTGCACATCTATCCGTGTATGGGGATTCGAGCAGCAGTAAACGCATGAAGCAGCAGAAAACGCATGGCCCAGCAAGTTCATGAGATTCATCAGGCCACACCAGTCTTTCACTTGCAAATGGGATTAGAAGTGGCACAGCTGGAAGTTGCACCACCCATTGATACAGGCTGTGTCACCTTGTTTGGCATCTTGTTTTTTTAAGGCCCCAAAGAAACACAAGATTCACACATACCCACATTGTGTTCCATATGTTGAAAGGGTTCCCTTGCCTCAAGGTGGACACATTGCAGTTCCATGTGCTATCATGAGCTGCTTCAACAAATCGTGAAGTTTATGCAGCAACTGTTTGAATCTTCAAGTTGTGGGATGTACGAGATTGCTTCAAGTCTTTCCGCATTCCAATTCTGCAGACTGGCTGAGGTCCGGCTCCGGCTGTTATCTCTGTGAGCATAGAATTGCTCGACCGACTAGACCATTTCGGTCTGGTTTTCAAAGGTACACGTTTTTTGGCGCTTTCAGCTGGAAACCAAGAGGAAAACCACCAGTTTGGGGGTCCCCTACAAAAAGACAGACCCATTTGACTTTTTCTCAAGATAGGAATTGTTCCCCTACGAATGGCAACGGTTTCCGTTTCGCTTGCCAATCACCGGCCGAAAGATCTGGAAGGCCGAAAGGCAAACACTTGGGTTGTGCCAAAATAGGCTTCTTGTTGGTTTCCCTTACCCAACAAGGGTCCCCTCAAAAAGCACCCTTCCCCCTCGTCAAAAAAGGGAAAACACAAAACACAACTACAATTCCCCCCCCCCCCCTTTCCAGTTGTTCCGGTACCCTCCAAAAAAACAAACATCCCCCCCACCGCCCCGCTATTCAACGCGAGGTTTCCCGTTTGGTCGGCCCCCCGGCCGTCCGTTTGGCCCCGCGCTTTGGGCGGAGCGTCGCTCTCCGAGGACGCGGCGGTGGGCCAGGCCTTGGCCGCCCACGCGGCTGGGGCGCCGGAGGCGGAGGCCGAAGCGGCGGCTCGCCCCAAGGGAAGGCGCAGGTGAAGAGACGTCGGCTCAGTTTTTTTTGTTTCTATTTTTGTTTTTTGTTTTTGTTTCTTGTGAAGGTTTGCCTTTTTGGGAAAGGGTTTAAGGTGTGATGATGGCTCAGTGAAGGCTCTCTCTTTTTTGGGAGCACCTTTTTGCTTGGTTTGAAAACGGAGATCTGTTCTAGGTGAAAGAGGAGCTGCTTGTTGGTTGGTTTTGAGGGGATACCAAAAGGAAACCAATTGAGACCATAAGAGCCTGGTTCTTGACAGATCCGTTCTTTGGACACAGGGCTGGTGTAATAGTCCTTTCAGAACGGACTCCCCGTTGATGATTTGTATTTAGCATGGTCATTATCAAACAAGCAGATCATATCCTACTTTGCTTCTCATTTGCTTTTCGCAGACTTGGTTGCAAGTATTCGCACCTGTGTTCTAGCCAGGCTTTCCTTCACCGGATGGTCTCTGAGGCCACAGCTCGGATGGCGGGAACTCGTTTCTTTGGTAGCCACACCCACGGCGCTTTTGGCAGCTGCCATCGGTTTCTCCGAAACGTGCTGGTTCCGTTCCCTTTGAAGACGACCATATTTCGTGGCGTCCGAAGTGGGAAGCGCCGTCGCTCAGCAAAGGCACTGACGGTTGCCCGTGCGCTGGCTGCCCAAGCAGCAGCCGCGGTTGGAGATGCTTGGCCGCAGTTCTGTTGGTTTCAACCAGCACCAGGATAAGTGGTTTCAACCAGCACCCAACTCAGTTTCGCATGTTGAGCTTCAGATTCTTCACCAGGATACCTATCTTAATTTCACATCTAACACCCACTGCCAGTCCAGATGCTTTCTCTCACTGTGGATCAGTCATTGGCCAGGGAGAGAGGAGCTGGAAACCACCTGAGCCCGTGTCATCCAGCCTAGAGGAGGGGTGGCATTCGTGCTCATGCTCAGAATATGAACGCATAGCGGGTCACTTGAGCTGACCACACTGCAAATGGAGTTTGCGCGAGCCAACCTCTAGTTTGACGGCTAGCTCCCATCAATCTGGCCACGATGATACACCGATGTGACATTTTCAAACCAAATAGCCATGATTTACTCCCCCTGCAGATGGTTCTGGACCCACAAAAGCACCATGCTTGGAGGAATCTCTTTCTTGAGACCCCCCCCCCCCCCTGTTTTGGGCTCTTCACTTGAGCACGGAACCTCCAAGTCCATCCGTTTGGACTCTCCTGGGCTGGCGTCTCGGCGTGCGCAACCCGAGACGCGCAGGAAGAGGCCTGGACGGTGGCGCGCGCAGCCTCCCGCGCCTTCGCTTCTCGGCGGAAAGAGAGAGCTTGGGTCGCTCATTGGGATCCAGCAAGAACCAAAGACGGCGTCAATACAAAGATTTGACGGAGCCAGAGCTAGGTGCCATGTGTTTTTCTTAAGGGTAGCCTCACCAGAATGGTGGATTCCCTTTTTTCCTCTTAGAAGCGAAAGCAAATGGATACCGTCAAAAAAGAGGAGCCGCTCATAACCAATGCATGCGAGGATGAGACTCCGACGAGACCCTCGGGCAGGAGCAATGAGGCTGTCGCGTGATTGCCCGACTTCTGAGACTGCCACCGATTTGTTGTTGGCTTTGTGAGTTCACGCATGACCATAGGTGTCCTTTTCGGTGGTTTTGGTCGAAAGATAGAGGGCGATTCCTGGTTCACCTGGTTTAATCGTCTGCCAGGGAAATCCATCTATTTCCCCTAGGACACCTACGCCTATGACATTCTGACCGTATCCTTTTCTCATATTGCCGGTGACTGGTCCGCATCCGCAAGTTCCCGTGAGTTCTCGGCTTCTCGGAGCGGAAGCCGCGGGACACGGTCGCAGGCTGCCAGCCCCGTGGCAGACTTGGCATCGGATGCAGCTTGGCATTGGACGGCCACGTCGAAGCGTTCGGATGCGTTTCAATCTGCATGGTTTGCCTTGCTTGTCTGATCAATGGAGAGGCATCAACCGTTGGCTGAGTAAAAGACAAGTGATGGCAAGCGACTTGTTGTAGACATGATGCGGAATGCCCCCGTTGCAGCCTTTCCTTGCTTGTCCCGTGGTTTTCCTTCTTTTCTCCATGAGTTGCTTTCCCCTTCCATCTCCGAGCTCGTCGAGCTGAATTTGGCGTCAGGCAGATGCCGCGGGAGCGGCACTGGCGTCGGCGGCTTTCGACTCAAGATCACCAGCAGCTGCAAGCGAAGCGACTTCGGCGCTTGTCCAGAGAGTTGTGGGTGGAGTTGGGATTCCTCGAAAAATGCTGTCTTTCTATTGAAGGGTCCACAAGAAAACCTCAATGTTGGCCAATGATTTGGGTCACGTGCCAATGCCTCATGGTCGGGGAACACCAGGGTGTGACAAGCTTGCAGGCCTTCTTTTGGTGGCTGAGCACACTGGAAGTTGGACGTCATTTGCTGCTTCAATGTATTATCAGAAAGGCCCCAGACAAACACGAAGGACCAGCTACTTCTGTGTTATATATTTTGGTTTGCAAGGGCAGGGCAGATGCTTAAGCTGATGTGAGAGAAGCTGCTGCAAGACGCGGGGCAACGTGATTATACATAAAGTTTTGGGCCTTCAACGTCCTCTTCCTTTTGACTGATTTGTATGGTTGTTGACCGTGGTTTGCCGATGCTTTATGTCCCTATTTGATTGGCCTATTTTGCTTTCACGAGGCTGCCGCAGTGGGAGCAGCGCTGGCGTCAGACGCGTTTCGTGGAGGCTCCACACCATCCGCCCCAGCGGCTCCAGCTGACCAAGCACCCCCTGCCGCTGCCCCAACACCGTCTGCTGCTGCGGCTGCCAGCGAAGTGCCGTCGGCAGCATGTTGAGCGGGAGGTTCTGCATAGGGCATGATGGGAGCAGAAGGCGTGTAGAAAATGCATGACATGCCAAAAGTGCGTGCGGTGATATTGCAGACAAAGATAAGTCACAGAGTTCGTTTGGTGTGTGTGTGTGTGCGCGTGTCGTATACGTGTTTTTCTTGTTTTGGTTGCTTGTTTTAGTTTGCTTGTTGTGTATGTGTAAGGATGTAGATTGATATGATTCAAGCAGCAGACAGATCAGTCTTAATAGCAGAAGGTTGTACAGGGGGTCCTGAACGCATCCACGTGTAACTTATAGCATCTGGTTTTGTCAAGAAGCATCGCATGTGTTGGCAAAGACGTTTGTGCAAGGCGGTGTCGGGTCCCCAATATAAAAGTTACAGTTTGTTTGCGGGGGGTGCCCAGTTGCTGCCAGAGCAGGCTGAGAACGAAATGGTACTGTTGAAAGTATGTTTCGTCCCCAGTTGCCAGGAAGTCAACGACTAGCGCAATGTCGCTCGAAGATTGCGTTTGATTCCGATATATTTCTTGATGTTTCCCAGGCCGATGCCGCCATGGGAGCAGCACTGGTGTCAGAAGCGTTTCGTGGAGGCTCCACACCATCCGCCCCAGCGGCTCCAGCTGAAGAAGCACCCCCTGCCGCTGCCCCAACGCCGTCTGCTGCTGCGGCTGCCAGCGAAGTGCCGTCGGGAGCATGTTGAGCGGGAGGTTCTGCATTAGGCATGATGGGAGCAGAAGGCGTGTAGGTGCTTCGTTGTTGCAGGCGAAGATAAATCTTTGTTTTTTTCTCTCTCTCCCTCCTGCTCTCTCCGTATGTGTTTGTGTGCGTGTATGAGGATGTGAGTCATGTGAGTGTGATGCAGCAGAAACGGTGTGCATTGCAGCACGCTGCCCGCACTTCTAACATGTGGAATTCCAAGAAGCAGTGCACATGTGGGCAAAGGTGTTTGGCTGAAGCCGTGCTGAGTCCGGTACAAGTACGGGATAGCTTTTGAGTGCCCAATATGCTCTGGCAGCAAGTATTGCTGCCAGAGCATGCTGAGAAAAGAAGTGGCATCGTTGAGGTATGCTGCATCCCCAAGCAGCGCAATGTCGCTCGAAGGTTGCGTTTGATTCCGATATATTTCTTGATGTTTCCCAGGCCGATGCCGCCGTGGGAGCAGCGCTGGCGTCAGAAGCGTTTCGTGGAGGCTCCACACCATCCGCCCCAGCGGCACCAGCTGAAGAAGCACCCCCTGCCGCTGCCCCAGTGCCGTCTGCTGCTGCGGCTGCCAGCGAAGTGCCGTCGGCAGCATGTTGAGCGGGAGGTTCTGCATTGGGCATGATGGGAGCAGAAGGCGTGTAGGAAATGCGTTAACTGCCAAAAAGGCGTGCTTTGATGTTGCAGGCAATCACAGAATTGGTTTGGTGTGCGTGTGTGTATGTGTGTGCGCGCGCGCGCGTGTGTGTGTGTGTGTGTGTGTGCGCGCGCGCATGTACTTTCTTTTTTGTTGGTTTTGATTGTTTGTTTTGGTTTGCTTTTTGTGTATATGTACGGATGTAGATTGATATGATTTATGTATGCAGACAGATCAGTCTGCATAGCATATTGTTGTACTGCAGTCCTGAACGTATCCACTTGTAACCTATGACAACTGTTTTTTTTGGGCTTGTTTGTTAGTTAGTTAGTTAGTTAGTTAGTTAGTTTGTTTGTTTGTTTGTTTGTTCACGTTTTGTCAAGAAGCAGCGCTGTGTCGGCAAAGACGTTTGTGCAGCGCGGTGTCGGGTCCCCAATATGTTGCAGTCTGTCTGCGGGGGGTGCCCAGTGGCTGCTGTAGCATGCTCAGAAAGAAATGGTGCTGTTGAAATGGTGCTGTTCCCAGTTGCAAAGAAGAAAACAACTAGCGCAATGTCGCTCGAAGGTTGCGTTTGATTCCGATATATTTCTTGATGTTTCCCAGGCCGATGCCGCCGTGGGAGCAGCGCTGGCGTCAGAAGCGTTTCGTGGAGGCTCCACACCATCCGCCCCAGCGGCTCCAGCTGAAGAAGCACCCCCTGCCGCTGCCCCAACGCCGTCTGCTGCTGCGGCTGCCAGCGAAGTGCCGTCGGCAGCATGTTGAGCGGGAGGTTCTGCATTGAGCATGATGGGAGCAGAAGGCGTGTAGGAAATGCATTAACTGCCAAAAAGGCGTGCTTTGATGTTGCAGGCAGATATAAATCACAGAATTGGTTTGGTGTGCGTGCGCATGCGCTTGCGCGCGTGCGCCTGCGCGTGCGCGTGCGCGTGCGCGTGCGCGTGCGCGTGCGCGTGCGCGACGCGATGCGCGGGCGTGCGGGCGTGCGGGGTGCGGCGTGCGTGCGTGCGTGCGTGCGCGCGTGTGTGTGTGTGTGTGTGTGTGTGTGTGTGTGTGTGTGTGTGTGTGTGTGCAGGTACGTCTTTTTCTTGGTTCTGATTGTTTGTGTTGGTTTGCTTTTTGTGTTTCTGCAAGGATGTAGATTGATATGATTCATGCAGCAGACAGATCAGTCTGCATAGCAGATTGTTCTACTGCAGTCCTGAACGCATCCACTTGTAACCTATGACAACTGTTTTTTTTTTTTTTTTTGTATTTGTTTTTGTTTTTTGTTTTGTTTCTTGATTTCTTCATTTTTTGCATTTCTTGTCAAGAAGCAGCGCTGTGTCGGCAAAGACGTTTGTGCAACGTGTGTCGGGTCCCCAATAAGTTACAGTCTGTCTGCGGGGGGGTGCCCAGTTGCTGCCAGAGCATGCTGAGAAAGAAATGGTACTGTTGAAGTATGCTTCATCCCCAGTTGCCAAGGAGGCAACGACTAGCGCAATGTCGCTCGAAGGTTGCGTTTGATTCCGATATATTTCTTGATGTTTCCCAGGCCGATGCCGCCGTGGGAGCAGCGCTGGCGTCAGAAGCGTTTCGTGGAGGCTCCATACCATCCGCTCCAGCGGCTCCAGCAGAAGAAGCACCCCCTGCCGCTGCCCCAACGCCGTCTGCTGCTGCGGCTGCCAGCGAAGTGCCGTCGGCAGCATGTCGAGCGGAATTTTCTACATTGGGATGATAGGAGCAGAAGGCGTGTAGGAAATGCATGAAATGCCAAAAAGGCGTGCTGTGAAGTTGCAGGCAAAGATAAATCGCAGGATTGGTTTGGTGAGTCGCTTTATTCATGTCCTTTTTTTTTTCTCTCTCTCTCTCTCTCTCTCTCCCTCCTGCTCTCTCCGTATGTGTTTGTGTGCGTGTATGAGGATGTGAGTCATGTGAGTGTGATGCAGCAGAACGGTGTGCATTGCAGCACGCTGCCGGCAGTTGCGAGTATATACATCCATTTCTAACATGTGGAATTCCAAGAAGCAGTGCACATGTGGGCAAAGGTGTTTGGCTGAAGCCGTGCTGAGTCCGGTACAAGTACGGGATAGTTTTTGAGTGCCCAATATGCTCTGGCAGCAAGTATTGCTGCCAGAGCATGCTGAGAAAAGAAGTGGCGTCGTTGGGTTGCGTTTGATCCGATAATATATATATATATATATATGATATATGCACATACTTCTTGATGTTTCCCAGGCCGAAGCCGCCGTGGGAGCAGCGCTGGCGTCAGAAGCGTTTCGTGGAGGCTCCACACCATCCGCCCCAGCGGCTCCAGCTGAAGAAGCACCCCCTGCCGCTGCCCCAACGCCGTCTGCTGCTGCGGCTGCCAGCGAAGTGCCGTCGGCAGCATGTCGAGCGGAATTTTCTACATTGGGATGATAGGAGCAAAAGGCGTGTAGGAAATGCATGAAATGCCAAAAAGGCGTGCTGTGATGTTGCAGGCAAAGATAAATCGCAGGATTGGTTTGGTGAGACTCTCTCTCTTTCTTTCTCTCTCTCTGTGCCGACTCCCTGAGTTAGGCAGGGACCAACCGTTTTGTCACCCAGGCGGCGTGTGGCACTCCCGCGCTGCCTTGGAACGATGCGCCTGCTCAGCCCTGTGTACCTGTCGTAATACAAAGTCCTTTTGGCCCTGCCCGGAATTGCTGTTGCTTCTCGGTGTCCCGTTTGGAGCCATTTCCCGACGCTCGCGGCATGTCACTGAATATGTTGTCCATTAGACTTGACTGCTACATTCCCTGTAAATTTAAGAAGCGTGTTTTCCCAATTCGGGGAAAGCCTTGCGCGCTCCCGCTGTGTGGCTCCGGGAGGGCATTGCCGTTTGCAGCTCTCTCAGCTGTTTGCCAGTTTCTGCGTCGGGACCATACTCATCATTCTTGGACACTTGCCAAAGAAAGCGTCTCTTGCTGGTCGCCTTTTTTGTCTCCCTCATCTTTTTGCTTCGTTTCTCCAGGTGTGCTTCTTTTTCGTGTCGGTCTTCCCTCTATGTGTATGTCCTCCGTGTCTTCGTCTTTTTCGTCTTCACCCCGGCTTCTCTGGCGTTGGGGGTCTTCTTTGCGCACCTGCAGGCAGGTTTCGCACTGAATCCCTTGTAATTTTGCACCTGTATTCCCACTTTCCCTACACGTCAGCGTGCGCTGTGCTGTCTTGCTCAAGTGCTTTAGAATCGACATGTCGGGCCGTCGTTGCTGCTTGGCCCCTTTGCGGGATGACTTCTTCCCTTCTGTCTCCCTGATTTTGCTCTTTCCTCTCTTCTGCTTGGCCGCGTTCTTCCGGCATGCCCCTCTGCGGGTAGCTTCCTGGTCTTCCACAGGTCATCTTTGCAGCCTCGAGTGTCGACAAGTTGAAGTAGATTAGGTGACAATGGCTTCCCTTTACTCGCTTTAAAAGTGACACCGATAAGCAACAGCAATTCGGGGGGGCCAACAGACTTTATGTCACGACTACATCGCCCGCAGTCTCGTTGCACGTGGTAGGGCGAGAGTGCCACGCTCCCCTGCGTGAGAAAACGGTTTCTCCGTGGCAAAACCCCTCAGCCAAGAAACAAGAAACACAGGGGAGCCAAGTTTTAGGGTCTCGGAGGGCAGCAACCCTAGACAGCGCAAACAACCTAAACCTTGTATATGTCGGCAAAGGCGTTTATGCAACGCGGTGTCGGCTCCCCTAAAAAGTTGAAGGTCTGTCTGTGTGGGTTGCCCAGATGCTGCAAGAGCATGCTGAGCAAGAAATAGTGCTGTTGAAGTATGTTATGTTCCATCCAGTTGCCGAGAAGCTAACGACTAGCGCAATGTGCAAGGTTTCGATTGGTCCGATATGTTTCTTGATGTTTCCCAGGCCGATGCCGCTGTGGGAGCAGCGCTGGCGTCAGAAGCGTTTCGTGGAGGATCCACACCATCCGCCCCAGCGGCTCCAGCAGAAGAAGCACCCCCTGCCGCTGCCCCAACGCCGTCTGCTCCAGCAAAAGAGAAACCTGCTGCGACGGCTCCAGCTGCGGCTGCCCCAACAACACCTGCGCCGGCAGCCCCAATGACACCTTCCCCAGCAGCAGCTGCCCGAACAGCAGCTGCCCCAGTGGCCCCAATGACACCTTCCCCCGTTCCAAAGGCTGCCCCAGCACCAGCTGCCCCGGCTGCAGCTGCCCCAACGGCCCCGATCACACCTTCCCCAGTGGCAGCTGCCGCAACAGCAGCTGCCCCAACAGCGGCGCCTGTCACTGAAGCTCTTTGGGCAGCAATATAGGGGAGGCGCAACTTTGCACTATGTCCGATTTCAATAGTTCTGTTCTTTTGGGCAGGCCTCAAAGTCGTTTCGGCTTGGTTCCTGAAGTCATTGCTTGCCAGTGCCGAAGACATTGTATGTTGAGCTTTTTGAGTCAAGGTTTTCTTTCCTCGACCTGAGGTGCCCACAACTCCAGCCCTGCCTGCGAAGGTGGCCAGTCGGGCGCGTGTTTTTTTCACTACCCCTTGCACGGAGTGACTTGATTTGTTAAGTGTTCCTTGCGCATGGGTTGGCTTAAGTTGAGTATTTCAAAAATCCGTCGAACTCGACTCCGTGTCTTGCAGGCCCGGCCTGGCAGGGCGCTCAGAGGCCGAAAAAGAACCGTCGAGCCTGACGCAGGCTGTCAGATTTCATCAGATTTCCATTTAAAGCTTTTCGACATTGGCCCCCCGCTTGCCCTGAGTGGTCCCATTAATGCGCCAACAAGGGCTACATTGTCTTGCGCTCATCTTGGACATTTTTGTGATTTCTTGCAACAAAAAAACAAGCCTTCTCCGACATCGGGTGACCTTAGGTACGCCATGTGGAGGGCCCATGCATAGCCAGGCGGCCAAAGGACGGGGCCTTGGCTCGACAACGAGAGAGGTCAAATATATTTGGACTGGCTTGCACCGCTAGTCCCATGTGTTTTTGGCATCTTGCATTCTCCAGCGCCATCTTGTTCTTGTTTGTCAGTGGCCTGTCCTGCTTTGCTTTGTGGCTATCTGCGTTGATTGTCTCAGGTGAAGCTGAGACGCCGGAAGGCCTGAGTTATCGTGCAAGTGTCATGGCACCAGCAGTTGGGGGAGAACGCGAGTCGGTGACTTGGGCTTGCGGTTTGATTGTTGGAATGGCAGGCGTTGCTGTATAGTTCCACGAGGCAAGTCACAGCACACAAGCCACAATTCCAATTGCTTTGGACATCCATGCAGACACCTCATACGCACAAAGCCAAAGGGCCACATTCAGCTACAGCGACTCATGTGTCCGCCTGTCTTATGCTTTCGACGGACGACCCTTGCAAGGTGTGGGAAGCGGTGGGTTTGTTGTCACACTTTCGGTTGAATGCCGAATACATTCTTCCATTCATTTTGGCACCCGTTTAATTGACGCAGTGAAGGCTTTGGTATCAGCAACACGCTCGGAAGAGAGCTTCGATGGGACAATCATCTAGCATCCAAGGAAGGTGGCTGTTGCGATCGAGGTCAAAGCGGTTGGCGGTATGCAAAAAGCTTATCACCTTCCATATTGCCTGTGGAAGTGCAGCAAAAAGGTCGCGGACGTTCAGGTCAGGAAAGTTTGAGAGAGATGTGACTGTGGCCTTTTGGTAGTGACGGGGCTTAATTGCTGCGAGCATGCGGCATGGTGAACTAAGACCTCAATTTTGGTTTTCTCAGTCAAAAAAGCCAAAACAAGAGGCACTGGCTGACAGTCATTGACGCGGCGCCACGGCCCAAATACTCTCTCGAACAATTCCGGAACAAATGCTGTATGGCACAGAACGTTGGGTTCCTGGGTCAGCCTTCACGCTAAGGATAAGCACGCCCCACACTGCCAACTTCTCTCACTTTCACAGGTGGCCAGCCTGCAACTGGAGCTCAAGGCGGGATTTCGAGATGGAAGCGATGACTGCCTGCTCTGGGACTCAAAGTGTGACTTTTGGAGCGGAATTTAATTTGGAGTCACTGGCCGGATGTTGTTCCGACCCTCACAGAACATATTCAGATCTCTTCAACGGCAGAACCATCATGTTAAGAAGGATGCCCCGGGATCCGAACAGCAAAACATAAACGGGAAGGGAAGGTGCCCCTGGCAGGCGTTTCGCCGCTGGATTTCAAGCAATAGTCATCGCAGGCGAGTTCATCTTTTGATCCTGCCTTTTTGATAGTTTTGACTATTGCCCATACATTTTGGCAAAGGTCCTTTTGGCTTAAGGGGAAGATGCAGGAGGATCCTCGGGCCCGCAATGACTGTGCTCACTGACATAGAATTGACAGACATGGAGATTGCCTGGAGATGCCGCGGGAGGAAACAGATGGCTGGTTGCCATAAGCCAGTTTAGATCTTTTCGGTGAAAAGCTGGAAAAACAGATTCAAGAAGTCGTTTTGAGGAAGGTAGAGAGCTAAGACAGTCCCGGGAAACGATCTCATGCAACGCACCAGCCACATCAACCTTAGTTGGCGATGCAGGTGAATGAAGCTCTTGAGTGCGGTGCCTTCAACCGGAGGCCACTTTTGACCTAAACTGGTGGAAAGCCCGCAAAGACCTGAGCCAGTTTGAGAACCACGTCAAGACACATATCGGCTATCGGTGACAGCGCGCCTGCTCATGTTCGGAAGCGTCTTCTTGGAAGTGCTGCAGAAGCATCAGAAGGAGAGTCATTCAACGCTCTCAATCTCCAGTGCAAAACTTTGGCGCTCAAGAATATTGTCGGACCCGCAATGCCGTGGAGCAGGCCGCAAGAGTTTTTTCTGCAAAGTGTCCATCAGTTCGCCCATCGCCTTTTTTTGGGTCAATAATGGCAGAGGAAACATTATGAGTGTCGTGTTGTCACCCAAAAAACATGGCCATCGGCAAAATCGTCGGCAGAATCGGTACAATTCACTCCTCTTGAAGGATTGTTTGAGAAGCGCTTGGCTCTACAGACTTGTTGACACGTCATGGGGACGTTCCTAGAGTTCGAGCCTTCTGACTTTGAACCCGGTCAATTGTTGCAGCGTTTGCGTGTTCGGATGTCCCGCCGTGTGAAGGAGGGCTTTAACCCAAAGCTGGCGTGCATCTTGGCCGAGATGCTGCGATTGGAATTCGAAGGAAACAAGCTGAAAGATGCGAGAGCCGCTCTTTGTTGCTTCTCGCTCTGGAGCCAAAACCCTCAGAGTCGCACGAGTGGGAACGCATAGTCCAAGTGTCGCAGCCAGACCTTTCCAAGCCCATGAAGTTCATCGATCAGCGAGCAAAGGAAGAGCTTTTGGTGCGCAAGTCCCAGGGCATGCGCCGGACGGGTCACCGCCGACAGCACAAAAGCGACAACTTCTGCTTGCGGGGAGCAGGGCCTGAAGGCTGAGGTTCTGTGTGGCGGAAAATTGAACCGCAAGACTCTGGGTGACCGGCGCTCAACAAATTTTGGCCGCGCAGTTGCAGAACCAGGGCCGCCTGAAGGAGAAAGAGAACTTGATCACGTTGAGCAGGGACATCACGATCTTGGATTGACAGCGTGACCGGTCGACCCAGACTTTCTGCGTGCTCCTTTCATTCAGCAGGTCGGGGACATGTGGCTTGTGGCTTTTGACATTTCATTTGCCATGGCGCACTGCCCGCTGGGTGTACGCTAGTGTCGTATCTGCCCCGCCCTACGTACCAAGCATTGTACAGACTTTGTTGCAAAAGAAAGACACAAGTATGCTCATACCTTGAGAACCATTGATAGGTGTGTCGTATTTTTTTGGAGACCCCCCAAAAGAGAAACAACAAATCGTGATTTTCCTTTTGGTTTGCCTGCAAAAGCACCAAAAGACGTCTCCTAAAAAAAAGACACACACTGATGATGGTGAGCTGAACAGCAAACACAGGAATCCGGTTTCAAGGCTGAGAGGCAGACACCTGTCCGGTGATCTTTGTTTCTGCAGTTGTACTTCTCCTTGCCAAACATGTACAAATTAATTCACCGTAGACGCCCAGCAGGAAAAGCAACAACTCCTTCTCTCTCCCTCTCTCTCTCTCTCTCTCTCTCTCTCTCTCTCTCTCTCTCTCTCTCTCTCTCTCGCTCTCTCACTCTCTCTCCCTCTTTCCGTGTTTCTCCCCCTTCCTTTCTCTCTGTCTCTTTCTCATTCTCGTCTTTTTTGCAGCGACGCAGACAATCCCTCGCCCTCCCTTGAGGGAATCTTGCGCTAGGCGCGGGTGGTGCGGGGCAGCTGCCGCCGCCTTCTCCTTCGCCGACTCCGGGCACGCGAGGCGTGCTTTGGGAGACCGTACGACCTTTTGTCACGAAAGCTAGCTTTAGCTAGCTGAAGTTTCTCCTTGCGTAAGCAAGGTAAGGGGCTCAAATGCCGAAAGATTGATTTTTTCAATTATTTGAGCCGAAAAGATTGAAACAAATCAATTATTTAGCCCCCCTCTCAGGCTCGATTCCTCCCTGGTCCACCCCCCCCCCCCCGAGCAGTGGCTCAGTGTTTCAGCAGTCTCGGTTTGCCCGTTTTGGACTTGGTGCTACGAACTTTTACATGTTCCACCGATTCAGCTTGTTCATTTGAGACCTCAGTCTTCTCAGTAAACCACCTCGCCAAGAATCTTTGCACGCGCAGCATGCAGAACCCAGAGGTGCTTTAAGACACCTTCTGACACCTCTCGTTGTTTTCATTTTTCAAGGTTTGCCACGCCACCATGTGCGTTTGCGTGTCGCATCCTACGAATCTTGCCGGGCCTCTTGTTGTACACAAGCTACCTATGAATCCACTCTGTCACCGACCCATCTCATGCAACAACTGCTAGCTTTCGTTCACCCGCTCCTCAAGTTGTGATGTTAAAAGGAAACCAAAAGCAAAGCACCATTTTGGGGTCCCCCAAAAAATGGTGGAAGGGAAGCTTTGGGGAAAGTGTTGCCACGTCAGAGGACCCCTATTTTGAGAAGCACCCAAGTTCTTCAGCTGGGTGTTGGGGTTGGGTGTGTCTTGAAGTCGGGGACCCTCCTTTTGGGTTGCTTGTGAAACCATCACGTGAGGGTCCCCATATTGATCAGAGAGACGTTTGCGCGCTCCAGATGTACCTTTCACACATTGGGAAACAGGTATTCTGACGGCGGCCTTCGACCAAAGGCCAAAGGACCAGCTTCAGATAGTGGGACCAGCAACTTCTGCTTTTCCCCTCGGAGAGTCCGGTGCCCCAATTTCTTTAGCTCCCTCCAAAGGCGAAAAAAGTCGCGAGTACAGGGAGACACATGCCACAAGTTGCGGTTCGGCCCCTTTGGCCCTGGGTCACAGTCCTCTTGGGTCCTCTTCGACGCTTCTCCAAATGAGCCCCAAAACTGGTTCCAAACCAGCGATTGCCGAGCATGGAGTTGAAACAGCTGAGTTCAGCGCCATGTTTCGAGTATTGGTTTAGCGTTGATTTAGTATTGGTTTAGTATTGTTCCAAAGAGCGCACTGATACAGCTGAATTTGGGGTTGTAGGGGAGAATCGCCAGCTTAATATTGGCCAAGACTTGGCGTATCCTAAATCGATTTTGGACTTTGGGGAAATGTCGGGAAGTAATTGCTGATAAAAGGGGGACCTGCGATATGATTATGGAGAAGGAAATGCTTCCTCAGGGTTGGCTGCTTGCAGGTGTCCGAGTGGAGGTTGATGTGCCTGAAAGAGCTCCACAAGGCAGTTGCTCCGTGCTTTCCAGCTTGCTTGTCCCGTCCATGGCCAGTGCAGGCAGTGTGAACTCTATCTGTATCATTTTTATTGGTGAAATAAAGAGCAGCTCATGGCATTTATCGACATCATTACCTCTTTGCGCTTGCATGTCTTGTTCTCAGAGACAACTAGCAGCCACAACCGGCGTATTCTTGCTGCAACAACTTGACAACCTTCCGAGTCTGCCTTTTGCAAGCTGTTCCTCACCTGCTTCTCTGCTTCGGACCCTCCTTTTAGGGGGATGGGTTTTCTCGTTTTTTTTCTTCTTCTTTTTTTTCTTTTCTTTTTTTCTTTTTCTTTTTTTCAGGCGCTGGCCCGGCGTCGACCTCGCGGAGCGCGCTAGGCGTGCGGGTGAAAACCATGGCCTGGTGAAGAACCGTGGCTGGGTTCACCTTCCCATGCTTCTTGTTGCCGGGGTCGGATAGAGGTGACTCAGATTCAGAGGAGTACACCCGAATTCCCAATGTCCGGTCAAACAGATCTCTGTTGTGTGGCGTGTTGTGCCTGCATCGCATGTCCTTCAACTGCAGCTGTCAGCATGTCCCGGATCCAGCTGAAGCTCATCTCTTGGGCTCAAGATGCCCCCCTCCCCCCATTTTTATTTATAAAAATATAAAGAAAAACAAACAACATGAACATAAAAAAAAAAAAAAAAAAAAACAATTGGTGGTTTGCTTTTGGCTTCCCTTCGAAAACAAGACACCCGCCCGCCAGGCGAAGCGCGAAGGCCCAGCCGCAGCCGAGGAGCTTGCTGCATGCAACGGGCGACGGGCGACAGGCGCAAGTATGTTTCTCATTACGACCACACAAGCTGCAAATTGCACATAATTTATTTTAGCATGCTTTTGCTTCATGCATGCGCGTGCTGAACAGAATCAAGGCTGGCGGGTTTGCATGCCTTGATCTCGCGTTGAACCGCACAGAGCCAGATGCAAAATGAGGGAATGAAGATATCGCACAGGACGGTCCTTTGCTACAGTAATGATACGGGGGATCACACCCTGGGCCTGGGTTTTGACACCGGGCTCTGAAAGGCTGCGGTTTGGCCAAGAGAGGTCTGCCACTCAACTTGCATTTGGCCGTATTGATTAAACCTCCTGAGCTGGTGCAGCACTGGTGCCGCTTCATATGGCTGTGGGTGAAAACCAATGGTACCCTTTTGGGTAGGGCTTGCACTGGGGGCACGGGATTTTAACCCATGGCCATATAGGTTCGACATGAGTTCACTGGGCAGACAGGAGCTAGCCCTTCGGCAGCTCAGGCACTGCGTTCGGGCGGTTGGGAAGCTTTGCGTTTTAGATCTTTGGGGCTGACTGGATTTCCAGTTTTGGCTGCCCTACAGGGTGCTCCGAGCTTTTCAGAGGTTTTCAACTGAGGAGAGCGGCCGTGAATGTTCTGGAAGGTTGTGCTGCAGTTGCCGGCCGGTGCTTGCCAGGCGGAGACGTTGCGGGAACCTTGGGAGATCAGCTGGTGGCTGGTTTGTGTTTTTTTCTGGCTCGCCCTCGCCCTCAAGTGCAATCCGCGTTCACTTGGATGGCGAATCTGTGTCTTTTTTACGTAGTGGACCTCAACGCCCCCTGGATTGCACCGACTAAGCAACGAGGAGTGTAATAGCGGGTGAGCTCATGGAAATTGCTCCCTCAGGCCCCGCGCAGATCGACCGAGGCAACGCGAAAGGGCGGCAAGCAACTTGCTTTTGTTGTAGACTCACTCGGGCATCATTTCCTTTCTGGTTTAAGTTTTAGGGTGCTTCTTTCAGCTTTTCTGCTTTGACTTGAGCCGTGCAAGCAAGCTTCTGCATTGGGAGGCCTATGGCTTGTGGAGGTTCCTAGGAAGCAAACCGATTTTTCGACGCCTGGGAACAAGTTTTGTTGGGCTGTGTAGGCGTGCACGTGGAGCTGGTTCCAGCTGCTTGAAATGAGGGCTGTTCGCAATCTGGATTTGGACCGTCTCCTTCGGCCATGCTCATACCATTTTCCGTCGATGCAACAACACCCATTTTGACGTTTTTCTCGCCTCCGACTTTGGCCTCATAAGCTCTCTTGTCGGAGCTGATTCAATCGATTTGTTATTTGTCCTTGTGCGTCAGCATAGTGACTTCGCGAGATTAGGATAGAGAGGCACAATGGCAACCGCCTTAGAAACGTTTGTTTGGCAATCTTTGGAGAAGGGAGCAAGGGTTGGGGGCCTGCCTCTGGACCGTCCGGCCGCAGGGTTCAGCCTTGGGAGAACCAGCCACTGCTGCCGCCTCCGAAGGAAGGCGTCCGCTTAGCCAGGGAGACTATGAGCCGCGTCCGCTTGAACCTCTGAAAGTGACAGGTTGCGGATTTCCGAGTTTCAATAGGTTTATAATGGCTCGCTAATTATAAATGGCTGTATTCAAGGAAACCAAAGGTGCACTCGACCCTCCCGTAAGTGCTCAGACACAACTCATTTGGATTGGTTGGCTAGTTTCAGTCAACTCATGCCAATGATATCCCCTGTTCGTTTCCTTGTGTCCGCAGCACGCATCATTGCGCTGTAGGGAAATCTCGAATACACTCTTTTGGACGCTTGGGCCCGGCAAATCAACTCTTCGTTTCGGCTGAGCAGCTGAAACTCAGGTCAATTGATGGGACAGTGAAAGAGACTGAATCTGGCAGAGCCGGTAAGAGATGTCTGAAGAGGGACGCTGGTCCCATACCAAGGATGCTCACTCTTTGGACACTCGCAACTCTCAGGCCCTTTCGCATAGACAAACAGAGGCCACACAGACACAGACATGTATGTGAACATGTCATGGAACGCCAAGCATCCGGGCATGCCCGTACTGCGTCGTGACGACGTGCCATTTCATTCACTGGATATGTACACATATTACATTATATCTAATATATATATATATATAAATAAATCAATAAATAAATAACTAAATACATAAATAAATATGAATATGCGTTCGTAAATCTAAGAGCCAACATTATGTGCGAATGTCAGGAACCACAGCAAGTCAGAAGCTGACAAGGACTCCCGCGCACCCACTCATTGCTAGCTTGTCCAAATGGACCAAGAACAGCACAACTCAAGCGCCTCCGACTCAAGCGCCTCCGTCTGAGATTCTTGGCCATTTCTGTCATCTCCACCATCTGAACTGCACCCCGCCTCTGGTCATTAGTGGGTTTACGCTTCAGGTGGTCGGTGCATGACGTCATCCCAACGGTTTGCTGCTTTGCGCAGGCGCGCTTCTGCCCCTTGCGCCAGCCCAGCCAGCGGCGGCTGCCCTGCCGGCGGCGGCGGCCCAGCCGCCAGCAGCACCAGCCGCAGACGGCGCGGGGCGTTCGAAGGGCGGGCTGTGTGAGTGTGATATGCGGTGTGAGCCCTCAGTGGCCGGTTTCAGCGAGGTGTCGTTGGGCGGGAGGAAAAGGTTGTTGAGACGAAAAGGGCATGCCTGGCGGGTTGCTTGTGTGTGCACCAGAAAGGGCCGTTCAAGCGGCGAATGATTTGAGAGTCTTCGTAAGCAAATCGTTGTAAAGAAAGATGCCGGGCACCCCCCAAAGTGACGGGTTCCCTTACACAACCTATTAATCAACCCTTTGAAGTCCAGGGTCGACATGAACCCTCAACTAGCCCTTTGCCAAGCATGGAGCAGGCCCGGCGCCGGCTGCCAAACAGCTGGCGGTTTCTTCAGGCGAGCTTGGCTTTGGTGTCGGGCGGGATCGGAATCATTGCTATCTGTTTTCCGCTGCGGTTGACAGTTTCAAGCCGAATCTCACGGTCTGATCGTTCGAGTATTGTTGCAGTCCAGACACAATGACCGCTTGACTCACCTGCCAGGATGACGGACTGATCAGCTTCTTGTTTGACAATTTCTGGCCGTTAGGTTTTGTCAAAACTGGATTATTTGACTCTACTTTTTTCAATCGATAGGTTCAAAAATACGTACTGAATAATAATTTGCATCAACGGATCCTGAAGTCAGGGAAGTGGCCTGTGCTTTTGCTGAGTCTGCCCTGTTTCATGCCAGGCGCTTCACAAGCGCCAGGCCAGGAGCCGTGGTTGAGACTTCCACTTCACTTGGTGGTTGAGACACTGGGCAGTCAGCAGTGCTGTTTTGGGTGCATGAACTCCTCCAACGGGAATTTCATGTGGACATTTGAGGAGATCTCTGCATATATGGCCATGGGTCATAACCTATGCGTCCATTTTGGCGCGGATGAACACCCATGTACCACCTATTTGCATTTTGATATGTTCACCACGGGTATAGGGTTTTGACCCACAGCCATATTTGGTCTGGAAGTGGATAGCCACCATCAAGCATTCTCGAGGTCTACTGATATTTGAGCACACTTAAAAGCAACTGCGCGCTTGTTCCGTACAGACGGATCAAAGCTTGAGGAGATCAGGGGTCAGAGGACCATGATGGCAACCTCAGGCTGTGTCCGCGCGCCTCCCGAAAGATTCCAGTTTGCCCTGAAAGATGGTCAAAATGACTCAACATTTCAGAGTGATTCCACACTATTCACTCTCTTTTTCTTTTTTAATCACACAGGTTACCTATATAATTATGATTAGCATCCTACCCGCAGTCTGATGGCTTGTTGCTTGACCCTCTGGAACTCACACGCAGGCGAGCCAAGCACGCAGACGACGCAGACAGAGAGGCTTGCGGGTTTTTGCCTTTCGAGGTGAGACCGAATCCATTCGGTTTGACCTTTCCAGCTTGCTCGTTTGCTTTGGCTGGGCCGAAGCCTTGGCAGGATTGCCCATTTGCAGTGGTGAATGACCTGCATGCAACACATGCTTTATACTTTCGACTCTTTTCGTGTCTGCCACCTCCAAGTCGTCTGGGCCCCGACAGGCGCCATCAGCCGGCCAGGAGCTGAGATCAAAGCATCGAGACGCTGAGAGATCAAACGCAGCGATCAAGAAACTGCTGGGATGGTTGTTTTTGACACTCGTTCATAAGCTTTGAGATGCATCATATTGCTTAGAGCCGCCTATGTGCAACACACTTCAAAAAACACGCACAAAAAAAACAAAGGCACGTCTCTGACGTCTCTGAGTTTTTCTGCAGCATCATATTAGAACCGCCTGCCATGTGCAATCAAAAGTCTCTAAAACCACCGGGGGGTTCCCCTCGGCTCAGTGGCTCCGAGTCGCCCCTCGTCTCCGAGCCCGCGAGGCGGAGTCCCGAGCGCGGGAGCCGCGGGAGCCGCGGTCCGTGTCCCCGCGCCAGGAGCGCGCCTCCGAGGCGCTGAACGGGGGACAAGGGGGTGGGACTGCGTGTCGGTTTTTAGGGATTGGACCGTTTTTTTGGTTTTTGGTCTCCCCCTGAAAAGCTAGAAAGAAGGGGGCACCAACAAAAACGAAGAGATTCAAACATGATTAGACAAAAATGTCCACTGGGAAATGGAGGTTTCTTGTCAAATTCCAATAGTCATTGGGCGATATTTAGTCAAGCATGTTTGCCACTCCCAGCAGTTTCATTTGACCAGGCGCAGCCGCTGTACGACTTGCTCAAAGAGATGCGGGAGATGTGGTCTGCTCCTGGGTGCCCTTGGGTGGAAGCGATGCACCAATTGTGTGCTTCACGGAGTTTTTGATCCAATGCATTCCTTGAAGCTCCGCTGAATCGTTTTGTCCTGGCTAATTGGGGAACCCCAGAAAGTACTATACCCGCGGTGTATATCAATACTCTTGACATGGGCCTTCACTAGGAGTTGAGCTGCCAGAGGATGAGCAGGGGCATGTGGGGTTTATGTGAAATGCAGGTATCCGCCTCAGCTGGTCCGCAACCCTTGGTGCCTCGGCAGGCAGTCAGCTTCTGCGTGAATGCAGCGAGAAGTAGTCAGTTTAGTCTTGTGATAGCGTCCAGGACATTGAATGCTTTGGCCGATTCTGGGGAGATCTTGTTTGAGCAGCGGAGGGAGTTGGTTTGGATGTTTGAGCCCCAAGCAGAGAAGGATCAGCAAGGAGCTGCTTGTTTGCTGCTCGTAGGGAATCCGAGACACCAGTTTCCGTGATCCGATCTTGCTGGACAATCATGCAAATGAATAATGGCAACACCGCCAGAATGGTTCTTGGCATCATCAAGCATAAGCCTGGCCGGAATGGCATTTGACACAGATAAAGCAAAGACCGAGTTCGGCAGTACGCGGCTTTTCCAATCTGCGTTCCTGACCTCTGTATGCTTCCTGCCCTTTGCGAGTTGGAATCACGACTCCGCGAGCTCATGGACTCTGCCTCACTGACCCAGCTCGAGGCAGTGCCCCGCAGTGCCACCGCCGGCACCGACGCCCATGGCGCCCGCTGCGGCGCTGCGGCGCCGGCACCCGCGCCCGCGCCCGCGCCTGCGCCGCCGCCAGGCGGGTGGGGGAAGCTGAGGCTCTGAAGCTCGGGGAATTTGAAGCCTTCCCGTCCTTTTTTTGTTTCACGAAGGAATGGAGGGGCCGTTTTGTTCATGGCCCCCGAAAGGACCAATCAACATAGTTTTTTTGGTCGGTAAACAGATCCGTTTGTTTTCTTCGAAACAGCTACCGAGTCTGAATAAGCAGGATCCCTCGCATCAAGCCTGTGCACGTTGCGGAGCCTGAGGAAAGGCTGAGTGGACAAACCGTCGGAGTCCGAATTCATATTCTAAGTGCCAGAGCTTTTGCGATCCTCTTCTCAAGGGAAACGCAACAAACGGACGGTTGGAACCTCCCGGGTGCCGGTTCTCATGCGAGCGCAGGTCTAGAGGAGCGACCCTCCAGGTCAGTGGAGGCCGCGGGAGCCAGGGTTTGGGTGGTTTTTTGAGGGTGGCCTTTACAGGTAAGTTGATGTTCGAGCGGTTCAGCCATCTGGGACTGGCCAAGTCGTGGCTTTCCCTTGCCTCTTCGTTGCTGCTCGCGAAGGAAAGGGCTGCAGGAAATTCAATAATTTGCAGCTGACTGGACCGGTGCTTCAAAAGGCATTTGCTTCCCTGGAGCCACGTTGAAGCTGGTTTTATGTTGAATGACCCCAGTGGAGTTTCAACGTGGTCCTTTCAGTGCTTCACTTCTCCAGTCTTAGCTCCGACGCTTCGGAGTTTGACTACAGCACCGGGATGTGGCCATATCTTGCCCGCTTCGGCAAAGGTGCGGAGCATCCGCATGTTGAGTCGGAGGAGTCCTTTTAACCACCGCCAAACTCCGAACGCATCAACTTCCAAATGGTCCAACTGGGCCAAGTACAATTTGTTGGTGGGGAGCAAAGGCCCAGATTCCGATGAACCACTGGGCGACCACCCCGGCCAGGTGCAGGCAGTGGCTCGGAAGAATTGGAGGGGGCAGGAAACCCACGGCAAAGGTTTCCGAAAAGTCCACGCAAACTCCTGGAGAACTCCTGGACTGCGGATTTGGGTGTGGCTCAAAATTTAACAGATGGGGTTACGCAGGTTTTCTCCACATACCAAGGTGCCATTTTGGGTACCTCTTTTTTTGAGCCACAGCCATTTCTCCTTCTGAATCCAGAGTCGTTCGTTGCAATTGAGCAATGGGCGGAAAGTGTTTTGCAAGCATGGCTCTCGACAACGTAGATTGCCACTTCAGAGGCACGTGAGCAGTGACACTCACCTGAGCCACAATCAAAAGCTGGGTGGATCAAGGTTTGTAGGGGAGAGTCCCAACCATAAGTAGCGGCCGCTTGGATTCTTTGCATGGTGTTCTGTGGACCCTTTAATACCAGGTGTCCATTTTCGCCTCCCTTTCATGACCTTTAGAGCCCAGGAGCTGATCGAAACGCCGAGCCTTACTCGAGATCAGCAAGAGGAGCGGAGATCGCGCGACGTTTTTGAGGCGCTGGCTTGCACTTCAAGGTATATAGGTGCTTGGCACAACAGTTGCGATTTCTTGTCCGAATCAACTTGCGTTGGGTTGAAACTGCCAGCCTTCGACTCCTGTGCACAGTTGGCTGGTCAGCACGCGTGGCATCCTTTGCGTGTTTGAATCGCATTGCGCACTTTGCCAACGATCGATCATTTCCAGTGGTCCGGGCTCGCCACTGAAGTCTCTGACTGTGAGCGTCGGTTGCAGGACTTTCGCACCAGGCTCCAGGCAGGAAACTCAGTGGGCTTCGGAAGCTTGAGTGCATGTGGGTGCTTGTGTCTCTGCTTGGATTGGTGACTGTTTGCTTGGATGCATGATCGGATTGTTGTTTTTGGTTGCCCACACTGCTTGGAAAACATGCAAGGGCTCAAATGCATCAATCTCGACCAATATCCAAGCTACCATTGAGACAAGCTTTCCAGCTTGCTTGGCCTCCCTTTGTAGCATCATGAATCATGTCTGATGCCAGAGTATGGACCCATCCTCGGCACGCCGCCCCGGGCTCGGGGGCTCCGGTTTGGCAGGGCGCCCAGCAGCTGCTTCCGGAGCTGCGGGCGCAGCGCCAGACGCTGCACCAGGCGGCCAAGGCGCGCCGGACGGGCCGCGAGGGACCGCGAGGGACCGCGAGGGACCGCGAGGGACCGCGAGGTCCGGGTGTGCGTTTTGGGGTTTCTTAGAGAAAACAGTCCGGGCCAAAAGGGGAGCACCTCAAAGAATTGACATGGTTTTCCGAATCATTTTTTTCAATCGAACCAACCCAAAAGTTAAGTTGTTTTAATGCCGGTAGCAAGACAGGATCAGTTTTTGAAGGGGAAATTCAGTGACTGAGGAAACTCCTGGAGCTAGTCAATATGGAACCCAGAAAATAGATGGAAACCCCGAGAGCACGCACATTTGTAGAGGAAGCTCCCTTTGTTTGGGCTTTATGTTCATTTGCAGTGAATTTGCAGAGAGTCCTTGCAGGTTGATTTCCCCGTCAACGGACCTGTATGACTCGAACGGGATGGATCTTCTTCCTTTTCGGACCTTCGGACCCCGAAGCGACCGCCGTCCGACGCGTACCGACGCGAGCGCGCCGCCGAGACGCGCCGCGAGGGCATCGAGCAGCGCCTGGGGGAGCTGAGGCAGCGGTGCGCGGAGGCGGAGCGCGAGGCCCGGGAGGACTTTGAGGCGCCGGCCAGCGGTCGCTGGTCGCCTGGGCCAAGGGAAGCTGAGAAGCTTCGGGGCCCACGTTTGCCAGGTGACGTGTTTCTCTTTGCCTTGGAATTGGAGCTATGTTTTGCGGGGGAAAGTCAAGACAAGAAGAAGAGAGAGAGCGCTTTATTTTGGGTGTTTGACAAGCCCATGTGCAGAGGTGCGTTTGGGCTTGCGGACATGTGGCTGGTTCATTTTGCCATGTCTATGTGGGGAACTCGCATTTTGGACCGTGGCTTAGGTGTTCAACTATCAAGAGGGAGATTGGAGGTGTTGGGTAGGTTAGTACGGGGCAGTCCCAACCAAAAGTAGACGTGGCCAGAGGCTTTTGCACTCCCAACTACCTTCTTCCCGATGAGGACAACCCTCTCTCAAAGTCTTTAAGCGCTGGTTTCCAAGACAAGTACTGATCCTGGAGGGAAACAGCCCGCCTTATCTTTCACTTTTTCCTACTACTTGCTGCGTACCAGTTTGTTGATGCTAATCTGCTCTTACGCAGCTTCACTTCCGTTTGCTCGATGTTTTATTGTCAGCATTCCTTGATGATTATGACCTCCGACCCTCAAGGATCAACGTGCCATTTTTCCAGCTGGTTTAGGGCACTCCCATGAGCATGGGTTTGCGAGACTGCTATTCGGGCGAATGATGAAACCATGTTATATCAGCATGTGTTGGCATGATGGTTGGACGCACCATACTGTGTTGACTTGGGGACAAAAAGGCATCACGTTCGCTGTGAGGTGGTGTATTTGCTTTGCTCCTTTTCCTCTCCAGTTGCACACGCTGCAAGCAGGCATGGCTGTTGTTGTGTGGCTATGAATCTTGGGGGAAAAAATAGAACTCACGAGTGCCATTTCCTGTCAAGTGCCAGGCAACCATGTGATTTCCATGCCTGTTTCCTCGAGATCCCTTCGGCTCATGCGGAAAGCCGGGGCGCCAGGTGCTTCGAAGCCACCTGAACTCAGTGGAAAGCCTGAAGCAGGCGCCAAGGGTCCCCTGGTCCCGGCGCGTTTTGAACAAGTGGCTGTGGGTCAAAAAGAGGTACCCAAAATGGTAAATGGAAACATGGACTGAAACCTGCGGTCCCCTAGTGATTTAATTTTGACCCGCACGCAAGTGAGCAAGGGGGCCATGTGCAGAAGGGACCCATTCCCTCGAGCGCTGAAGCAAACCGCGCTTCCTCAGCGATTTGGGGTCATTGGAGCTGTGTTTTTCATTGCACCAAGTGTTGCGCATGTGGAGCGTGACACATGCTGTAGCCACGCTGGTGATAGCATTTTGCTGCGGATCAATGGATGAGACTGACCTAAGACGAGAGCTGAGGAGGATGACTCCAATTCCCCTTCAACAAGCAAACTCTGAAAGAGTCATGAGTCATGACTTGAACCACGAAGGTTCGTCTCTCGAATTTGCGGAGCGCAGGCGGTGCTCAGCCGGGAGCGGGATGTGCGGCTGCGGCTCATCGAGGGCATTGACGACTTCTGCCGGCGCTTGCAGCAAGTGAAGTCCTCAGTGGATCCGCAGGGTTGGCCTCAAGCCATGGGTCGTTGAAGGCTTGGCTTCTTTCAGGGATCCTCGAACCATGGGTCTGTGAGATGTTGTATTCGCTTCACAAGATGCGTTTGTCAGTTGGCCGGATGTTTTGGTGAGCTTGCGACCGCGGCTCTAGTCTTCTGAAAGCGGAGTAGGCCTGGGTTTGGAAAACTGCCGCCGACACTTGAGGGATCACGCTGGCGGTTCCCTGCAAGGGCGATGGACAATCACAGGTCCCCAAACCTCTCTTGTAATTATGAGGTTCTTAAGGGGGGGGGATGGGAAAAGGGGGTGGACTCCCTTAATGTAAGAACCCCATAATGTAAGTTTGGCCGGTGTCTTCCCTCGCAGGCGGAAGGTGCCTTTCGCCCCGACGCAGTGGCAGCTTGGCAAGTGCAAAAGAGCCACACCCTTTTGTGTTTGCAGGCTTTTGATTGGAGTACACTTGGACCCACCTGCGATTTGCACAGCTGCCCTTTGCTTTGTTCTCTCGCCTGCATCTCCCTTGCTGCCAACCTCGGGGTTGATCAATATTCCCAGACCCAAAAATAGCCATGTCGGCAACTCTTCTTCCTATTTAGTGGTGCAAGTTATATCTATTTTTTTGGCGGTTTCCCAAATGGTCACTGGCCCTTTGCGTCGCTTAACCAGGCGGCGCTCCGCGCGGAGTTCCCGGACCTGGCGGCGGCGGCGGAGGGCCTCTGCTCCCGCGCCTGCTCCTTGCCGCAGGCCAGGCGGCGCCCCGGTTGGCCATGCCGCGTTTTCCCGAAGGGGTCTGGGTCTCCACAAAGGGTCGCCGTTCTCCACTAAAAGGGGGCCATACCAACTTCTCAACTCCGCCAGGCAACTTGTTTTGGAGTCTGTCTTGCGAACTCTTCTGCAAGGTTTTGCTAGTGCATACTGGCCCTTTGTTCTCAGATGGCTGAAAGCTATAGTACTATAGGGGGTTCTAACTTTGGTGAAGAAGGGGAATGTGATTTGCGAGATTGGGGGCGTGCAGTTTAGGTGCTGGTGCAGGTGCTGCTTTGAGGATTGACGGCAGTGGGCTAGGGGGCATCCAACTGCGGATTCCTGCGCGGGTGCTGCTTTGGGATGCTGTTCGGGGTGTTGATTGGGGTGCTCTTTGGGGCAGTGCTGCTAGACTTGCTGGCGTGCGATCGTTGTTATTATTTTCTTCTTAACTTCCATGGTTGATGAATGGGGGGTCCGTTTAAGAAAGAGTTCCTCGCTTTCGGCGGAAACACCGCTCAATCCATCCACAAGGTTGACAATTCTGGGGGCAACATATGGGTGTGGGTCAAAACTGAACCACTAGGGGACCGCAGGTTTTAGTCCATGTTTCCATATACCAGGGTTCCATTTTGGGTACTTTGTTTTTTTGGACCCACAGCCATATTTCAATTTTATTTGTAGTTGTTTTTTTTGAGTGAGCGGCAGGTCGAGGTGCCCATCGATGACATCCCTTTTGAGGCCCGCACCAAAACCGAGAAGCTGCGAAGGCTGGGGGCAGTCAGGTAACGTCGGCCAAGGGAAAATTCGGCCAGCAGGTCTGTGAGTTGTTCCATCATCACTCTGGCACTATCTGACTGGTACGATATATTATAGAATTATTATTATTATTGTTATTATTATTATTATTAATATTATTATTATTATTGCTATTATTATTATCTATTATTATTATTATTATTATTATTATTATTATTAATATTATTATTATTATTATTCTTATCATTATCATTATTATTATTATTATTATTATTATTATTATTATTATTATTATTATTATTATTATTAATAATATTATTATTATTATTATTATCGTTATCATTATCATCATTATTATTATTAGTATTATTATTACTCTTGTCATTGTCATTGTTATTGTCATTGTTATTGTTATTGTCATTGTTATTATTATTATCATCATTGTTATTATTATTGTCATTGTTATTATTATTGTTATTATTGTTATTGTTATTGTTGTGATTGTATGTATGAACATGTACTCTGACCAACCAAAAAGGGTCGCAAAACGAACCATGGTGCGCCACTATGCCAACGCCATACACATGTTGGCTTCGTGGCAGTCTTGTTGCTCGCACCCAACCACAAAAGCACCATCTCTACACATCTTGGCTTTATCTTTGCACTGGTCTTGCCATTACCCAACATGTGCCTCACACGTACAACCCCCCTCTTTCCAACACCCCACCCCCTCTCGGCAAGGGACCGTCTAAGATGGTTTCACTACAAGTACCGGGAAACCACTAGCCCCTTGATGCTTTAGCCACAACATGTGTGTTGGAGTGCGTTCCACAGAGCACCTTGTCAAGTTACCCTATCGGTTCTGTTTGTAGTGGGTGACAGTCGATGGCGCAAATCTCCCCGTTTCGTCCTCCTCCCATCTTCTTGCCGTCGCTCAGTGGGGAGTGACCCTTCCGGGTGTTGGGGAATGACCCGGTTTGGGGGATTTTCAAATCGAGGAAACCCTAGTCGGCGTGGTTTTTCCTCGGTCATTCCATGTCTCATTCCACCTCCCCCCCCCACCTCCCCACCTCCCCACCTCCCCACCTCCTCCACCTCCCCTGCCTATCGAACCGAGTCACCGCTTCAGCTCCGGCTCCGCTGCGTCCAGGTTCGCGGTGGCGGAGCAGCTGCTCAAGGCGAAGGACCTGGCGCTGTGGCGCATGGAGCAGCCCGGGCGCCCGACACGTCGTCGGGAAATGGAAATGCGGGGGGGGAGGGTGAAGCAAGGGCCCCTTTTTTGGATAGTTTGGGGAGGTTTGAGGCGTTTCTTTTCCTTTGCCGATGCTGGTGGCGGTGAGTTGTCGGCATGGAGCCACTGTGGGGTGGGGTAGGCAGCTTCGGACGCCTGGTGCATGTGGTTGGCTTGGAGGCATCAGTCGTCTCAGGTTGCGATAGACATGTCGGGAGTGTTTGGTCTAGCCTCGTCCATGTTGTGGTTGGCAAGAGAGGTCTGCGAAGCCAGAATCGAACCTTCTCCCGAAAGGAGTTCGCGAGGGATGAGGCTTGGTATGTCTTGAAGCGTTCCTTCGCCGCTCCCTTGGATCGGAGGCTCACAGTTGAGGAGTAGGGCTGCTTGAAAGAGTCCCTACACGTAGACAGAGGAGTTGGGCATTCAGCACGTGTAGCCGTCTATCATGCAGCCGTGACTCATGCGCAGAAGCTGCTCAATTGCGAATGCTGGTTTCAGGAGGAATCTCGAGAGCAAGAGTCAAGCAGTCGGACACATTTCATGGGTGAAGCGGCTTTGGAGCTGCTTTCAGAGGACAGCTGAGAGCTTGTGCATGCAGGCATGTTGAGGCCAGGAATCTACATGGCATGACCTGTAGGGGATGAGCAAAGCACAGGGAAGTGAAGCAATGTGACCTTCTTGCAAGCTAAGCAAGGATCGCTCTGTCGATTGCTGTATAGAGGAAAGTCACAAGGTAAGCTCCAAGCAGCGGGCTGCAGCCCTTGGACACAAAGCAATTGGCAGCACATGCCTCCCTCGGTGGGTGTGAGCGCCAGCCGGAAACACACGGGGCTGGAAGGCTAGATGTTCTCATCATACAGGATTGGAGGTTGTGTATTTTCCATCAGGGAACCCACCAATGCTTTGGTGCATCTTGCTTGGATGTTAGGACTTTAACTTTTTTGCCAACCAATGGCTTTTCCATTGAACCACTAAAAGCTATTCACTGTTAGCAGGGGAGCGGAAAGCAACCGAGAGTGAGTCCATTTCTTTTTTTTTTTCAACAACAACAACACTAGTCCGTTGCCCGTAGGAGCTGACGCGTAAGTTCGGCAGCCGGCCCTGGGCGTCACTCAGACAGCCGAGCCCTGAGAGGGTGGGAGGACCCGGAGGGCTGCCCTCGCAAGAAACGCGGCGTAGGCGGCCTGTACCGGCAACACCGAGACCCAAAAAGCGAGCATTGGAGTGCCGTCTTGATATGGAGGTGTCTTTTTTTGACGTCCCCCCCTTTTTGGGGTTGGTTTGAAGGGACACCCGAGAAACACATAGAAACAACACACATTGGGGGCGGTTGATTGTGGGAGTCTCTGCCAGAATGGGGATCCTGCGGGCCTGTCTTTTGCGAAAGAGCCCAGAGGACAGCTTGCCTATTCTCTGCTAGAACTCTGGCCCGAGGTGCAAGCTCACTTTGGGCGAAGGCGCGGTCGCCTCGGGGTGATTCTGGTGCGGACTGGAGATGAATGCATTCCTGATTGTCGTGAGCATCAAGGCGTCTCTGATGGATGCAAGACATGTGCAGAATTTCTGCTCGGGGCAGGCAGGATATAGCCTTTACTTCAAAATCCAAGGGCCCAACCCCCATACGGCTGGGTTTCCAGCGAGACATATTGTGGTCTTCTACTTCCCTCGATCTGCATAAATGGGACGCTTCTTTGAGCAACGCAAAGGCTTCTTTTCCCTTTGGTGCAGGCAGCCAGCCCCGCATATGCAGGCCTTCATGTTTGGCACAGTGTTTTTTTTGGTTTTTTTAATGAAGTTACGACATGGCCGTGCAACATGAGGCTTTTTTGTCAGCGTCGACCGGGCCATTTTGAGGGCCGTCGGTGGACCAACGCCTCCCCCAGGCGCCGAACCGAAGCTCACCGCCACCGGCAACGGCTTCCTCGTCGAGGCTGGACCTATTGGCTTGGAGTTTATCTTCCTGTTGGGTTTGGCTGTGTTTGTCAATATTTCGGAGACGTAGAGGTGTTTTTTCCCGTTGGAAAAAAAACACGTGCGCCTTGCGGTGTCAGAGAATTGAGAAGCTAGCATGCCGGGCCTCAAAGTGCAAAAGAGTTGCTTCATGTGGATTTGCCCTTACAGGGGCGGATTAGAACTGTCACCCGCGCCACCAGGAGGGCATGTGATAGGGGCTGCTGACCTTGTTGCAAGGCTGCGACCTGTGGCCTGCAGCAGGGCGAGGCTCCTTGACTCCATTTGGTCGGGTCCAATTGGACGAGTTGGCTCGATGCCCACTTTTGCGGACATTCTTTATGGTATCTCTGTGATCCGGGAGCCCGGCCAAAGACTGCGTGAAGGGGTTCTTGTGCCTCGCCTCCCCCGGTTGTGTCTTCTCCCGACCTGACCAGCTAGAAATGGCAAGACTGAAGACCCGACTCTGTTGAGTGCAACCAATGGATGTGCGGACGCCCGTGGTCGCATCTAGGTCATTGTCTCCGTTGGCAGCGAGCCTTTGCTAGATCTCAGTGACTCGCCGGGCAAGAGGAGACCTGTTGAGTTGTCCTTCGGCGCTGTCAGGGTTCGGAATTTCAGGGGTCAGACACTGCTCAAAATGAACACGCAGGTCCTCCCAATTAAATATTTTGAACACACTTTTTCCGTGGATACATGCGTTTGGATTCGGGCCGACTTTGCCCATTGGCTCTCTCACTGCCGCTTCCAAGTCTTCAAAGTCCGCAGTGGCCACGATCAATTTCTGGGAAATCGGTGTGGCTGACGCGGCTGACGCAGGCGAGTCGGAGCTGCGTGCCACCTATAGCTCGAAGGGCGGCGATGGGGCGCGGCTGCTGCTCATCGAGCAGAAAGAGCTCGAGGAAGCGGCGGCGATGGCTTCTGCGGCTGCAGCATCTCAGCTGAGGTGAGGGGTGGAAGAAAGGTTTGTGTTTTTTAGGTGGTGCCCTGTTGTGGCCAAGGCTGGTGCCGCTCACGTCCCCGGAACTGCAGAGGAGGAAGTGGAGGGTGGCCTGCGAGTAACCTTAGATGGCGCCTTGGCCAGGAATTTTGCGACATCCTTGCAGCATGGCGATCCTCGGTGGGAGTCCTCTTTTTGAAGTGGAGACCCCCTAAATGGCAGTCATTGCTTGTTGGCGTTGGCTCGAGTCGTTTTGGGGTTTGAGGCTGCGTGGTTTGAGTTTGACCAGCCAGTCCGTTGGAAGAAGCGCTCTTAAAGGCGTACGTGTCCTCACAGGGTTGCCCCTCCCCCGACTTGTTGGAGTGTGGCCGATAGGCCCCCGCTGGCAGATTCCGCCGGTGCTCTCTGGCCTGCGGAAGGAGGGCCTCGTGTGTTTTCTAAGGGGCAAGATGACGACATGGGGTTCACATTCACATTTTCATGGGTATCCCTACTGGCCATGTCTTCATGAGTTTACAGGTGGGATGGCTCGCAGGGCCACATGCGGCAGTGCCGTTTTACACCGTTTTCCGCCGCCATTGACAGCATGGCACTGACGTGCGCACAACATTTTCCAAGACAAAGGGACTCACCCAAGTGAGTGAGTCTTTTTTCATGGCCTCCAAGGAGGAATTCATCATGAGGGCGTCTCAAAAGCACACAAAACAACAACAAAAGTGGTGGGAATTCCTCAATGGATTCTCCTCCACGAACACGAAGCATGGAAAGGCTACCTGATGACTCACTTGCGGACTCGTGGGGATCACCATCCCAGCGTCGGGATCTTCACTGTCCTGAGCCAAAAGAAGGTTTTTCCAAGAAAAGATCAGCCCAAGCTGCGCCCGCGAGGACCTGGAGATCTTCAGCGGCGTTTTTGAAGTCTCCGCGGAGGTCTCCTCGGAGAAAGGCGAGGCACGTGGATTGAGAGCCCCGTGTGGGGTGTGTCTTTGAAGGTATTTTTTGTTGGTGGCCTTGAAGGGACACCAACACCCCCCCCTCCCCCGGCATTTTGGGCGCTCCCTACAAAATGTCTGAATTGGGATCCTTTTGCAAGTTTTTGGATCTTCAGGTTCTTTCCACAAAAGCTGCTTTTTGACAAACCAACCGTTCGACCTCCCTAACCATCACGTCCTGGCGCGCCCCAGCGCCGGCCGGAGGCCGCAGCTACATCCTCCTCCATGCACCGCCGGAGGTGCTGGCTCCGGCGCGGGCGGAGCTGCAGGCCATTCTGCGGCACCACGCGCCATGCGGCTGAAGCCGCCGAGGCGGCTTCGCCGAAAGTGGGCGGGCGGCCGATTAACTTTTTCAATGACCAGCAAAAGCGACATACTGTGGGTTCCTGCATGTACATCAGCTCTCAGCCAAGCAGCCAGAAACGCGGAATCACTGGGAAGCCCCTGCGACGCCTGAATGCCTTGGGGCTTCAAGGGTTGGTTGCGTAATATGTTTCAGCAACCAAACCCTGCGTTCCTTTGAAGGGAAGCCAAGGGAGGTTGTTCAAACAATATTGGTTCTAACCATGTTGAGACAAGGAAGGGGTAGCCCAACCCTAACCACGATCAAGACGCCAAGGCTTAAAGGGCCGTTTGGCTCGTTTCGAGGATGACCCCTCCCCCGCGACGAGGTCTGTTCGGAAACCAATCAATAGGCTTTTCCTGTGAGTGCAGCCATGACCCAGGAGTCTTGAGCCCACAAGCTGAGAAGTGGCCAAAGGTGTCGACGAGCCGTGTACAGTGTACAGGCGTTGATGGGGTTGGCAGTCTGTTGAAGTGCGCTGTGAAGCATGAAGCTTGTGGTTTTTCTTGGAATCGAAGTTGAGAACATGAATTCAATGTGACTGCCGAGTTCCTCTGGCCCCTGGCCTGTTTCTTTGTGGAGCCTCGCTCCTCTTAGAAAACTGACTGGGGCATTGCTTGGAGAAAGCCTGGATCATTGGGCGTGACATCGTCACAGGCTGATGGGGCCTGTAATAAAGTGCCTGTAAGGATAGTCTTGCTTGGTCCTTGCTTGTTTTCATGGCCCGTATTGCACACAGAACTCAAAAGGCTATTGTGAAGGGATCAGCCATTGATTGGTGTTGAAGGAGAGCAAGCGGTTTTTTCCTTCTGCTTTGCTTCCTGGGTGTGTACCACGAGACCCAGCTTTGCACCTGTAGGCCGTAGCGAGGGATCACATTGCACCAATGTGTTCCAGACATGCTTTGGCTTCTTTGTTTTTCGTGGACACGCACATGCGGGTTCGTACCCATATTGGTATGCAGGCATAGGTTCTGTCAGGCGCCATCCAGATTTGTGGAGTTCCCGCATCAGCACATACAAGTGACCCATGTGCAGCTTGTGCAGCTTGGGAAGCCGTCCTATCGGATGCTATTTATGAAGGACAGATGTGTGCTTTTGCGCTTATGTTTGTTTGTTTGGTTGTTTGTTTGTTTGTTTGTTTGTTTGTTTGTTTGCCTGTTTGCCTGTCTGCCTGTCTGTCTGTCTGTCTGCCTGTCTGTTTGCCTGTTCGTCCGTCTGTTCCGTTCGCTTGTTTGTGCGCCCTGAACTCCAAAAACACCCAGCCGCGCCTCTATCTCAACCGCGGGCTGAGGCAGCGGCGGCAGCTGGCAACGGAAACCCAGGAGGGAGCCGAGTGGATCCGGCCCCTTGGCAGCCGCGAGCAATCCGACTGGATCCTTTTGCAGAAGAAAAACAAAACAAAACGGGAGATTCAAGGGGGAAGTTCTGGCGCGCGGTGCAAAAAGATTGCATCGTTTGTATGGAGAACTGAAGGGCCCCACAAAGTCTTATAATACTCAATATGTTTTGCCATTTTTTGTACGGAGAACTGAAGGGCCCCACAACAGACTGAAGATGTTTTGTGGGACTGTTCCGCTTGGAGCTTGGAGCTTGTCTCGTCTTCTTGCCTCCGGAGGTGTCTTTTTGTTTGGCCCAGGCACCTGGGCTCCATGCTGGACCGCTACGCGGTGCCTTGGCTGACCCTGTGGGCCGTGGGGTCGCCCAACATGTGCCCAAAGGGGTGAGGTTTTGTGGGTTTAAGAGGTCGGGTTTTGTGGGTTTCCTAGTGCACAGATGGATGGATTGGGTGCATTTTGAGGGCTTCTGTGCGGTTTGGTCCATGAAGTCCATCCCCCTTACCCTTGACTGGGGTACTGAAACCTGCGGTCCATATTCTGGTGGTTTGATTTTGAGCCATACCCTGTGCACAAATTGACCGTGGATCGATTCGTCCAGCTTTCGGAGAGAGGTCTTGTGTTGATAATATCCAGCACCGTATATCAGGTCGGGGTATTTCTGGCACACCTGATACTAAAATGCTCCTGTTCTTTTCCTTTGTAAAACCCCCAAAAGAAAGGGTGCCAACCCAAACAAAAAGACACCCATATCGGGGTCATACAGATCGTGTCGCCAGGAAGAGTTGGGCCACGTGTGCTACTTCTGCTCAGAGAGGCAGAAGGGTCTGGATACCTTTCGAGCCGAGGCTCTCCCCGGCAGATGTTTTTGTCTTGGGGAACCATTCCGGAAGCCGGCCATTTGCTTGGTTCAAGCAAGGTTTCCTTCAAAGGTTTTTCAGGAGGTCACGGGTGACTGTGCTGCGGGCATGCTGTTAGTTATGCTTTCAGTCTTGCAAGAAACGATGCCGAGGCATCTGGGGTTTGGGATCCTTGAGATGCTTTGGAGGTTCTGCGCGGCTGCTGCCAATACTCGCTGCTGCAACCTCAGCGGGGCCAGGTTGAACACCATTGTGAGGAGTGTTAGCAGGGGAGACCTATGCCATGTCAAGAGAGTACTCAGTAAAAAGAGGTGTTTACATCGCTCGTTCACCGCCGATGGATCCAGCATTTCACCTTCTGCCAGCCTTCAGCTTTCTACTGCATGTGATATGCAACTGCTTGTGAAATTGTGGACAGGGCACTTGGGAGGCCTTCCAACTCGTGGAACAGTCTTGACCAACCATCTGCAAATATGGCGGATTATGGCCATCGCTGACCAACCCCCGATTGGTGTCCTTTTTGGTTGTTTTGCTCGAAGACATAGAGATGGCGATTCCTGGTTTCCCGGTTTCATCTACCAGGGACATCCATGTCCCGTGAGCTCAGCCTAAGACGCCCCTGCACCGAGCTCAGGCCCCTGGAACCTGGGCGCCTCGCCCTCGGGGCGGCCCATGTCCCCTGAGCCCCGGGTGCCGTCGCAGCTCTGGGGCGCAGGCGCCGCAGAATTGAGCAGGGAAGAATTGTTTTTTTTTGCTGTTGGTAGATTTGGTTGGGAGGTAAATGGTGTTCCACCCCAAAATCGTGGGCTTCAAGCAAGGCGGGCGTCTGAGGAGACGTGCTCTGATCCAAATGTTTTTCACATGTGAACAGCTTGGGACGAATGCTTTCGCTTGCGTATGTTGCGCCTCCAGTTCTGCGAGGCCGGGGCACATTTTTGTGGCACCCATATGGCAGGCGTCCACTACTGGGTGCCTCTGCCTGCCGCGAGCAGCGCTATGGCAGCAGCAGCGGTAGGCAGAAAAAACGGGAGATGGAAAAAATCCTGCGTATGAACTCTAGCATATTCAGTGTACTCATAGTTCAACGCTGGGATGTCTCGTGAAGATTATTTCGTGACCACTTTGAAGAGTTTGTTGCTCCTTCACGACTACTGATTCAACTTGTGAGAGCATGTTGTTGCAACAGGCGTGATGGCTGCGCGGCCGGAGAGGGAGAGAGTGGAGGCAAGACGCTGGCGCATGCTTTTGCCGACACGCTTTTTCGGTTTTTGACCCAGGTACCATGTCGATTTTGTTGCCTGTTCCGGGGTTTGAGATATGATTGATGTATGGGCGCGGTGAAGTATTGCCTTGTTTGGGCGGTTTCCAGGTTGGCCTTTTCCTTCGAACTACACAGGATGGTTGACAATCCAGCAGGTCAAGCGGTCAAGCTGTAACCCTGTCCAGTTGGCATCAAACGAGGAAGAGGTGTTGGTGGCGCAAAGCAATAGCACAGTTTTGCTTCGTCGGTGCCGGTTGGGGGCCTTTTGCTATGATGAGCCTTCTGATTTGGTGATGGAGAGAAGCACCTTGGCCACTTGGCTGCGCAGCCAGTTCGGACCCTTTTGCCGCAGCTGTACGGCCAATGCCCGTGCCCGCGCCTAGACAGCCCTACACCCTAATTCCTCAACAATCCGAAGCAACAAATCGCTCTCAAAACTATCTGATCTTTGGGACCCTCAACCAACCCTAGGCCCCCAAATCGCCCTGCAGCGCAAACGAAATCCTTCCAGCCTCACTTGATTCCTATCCCTAATGCCAGAATCAACCACTAAAAAGCAACAGATCAGCCGAAAAAGCCAAAGCCTTGCCCCCAAATCCCCCAATCGGTAAACGCAAACCGTAAACCTTTGAAGGGCAATAACCTTTTCAGACCAGGTAATGATTGCCACATTCAAGGAATATTCCAGTCAATTTTCACCAGCTTGCCTGTCAATCGAGCAATTAGATGTTGCGGTGTTAGTCTATTCCAAGTAGATATTGCCGTTGATCATCTGATCCCTCGAGACACTCGAGCCACTCGGGCACCAGGCGCAGCCAGAGGCATACGAGGCAGGGATGCATTTGGGGGATCAAGCTAAGGAGGTCACCGGGCCTGACATCTTGCAGTTGGGTTCCTGTGCAAGCAGAGAAAGATTGGAAGAGACACGTTTGATGCCTGAAAAGTGTTTGTTCAAGTGTTCAAGAGCTTCAATCATTTTTGCTGTGGATCCAATGAGTGTGCTTTGTACGGCATTCTCTGCATTGAAGCTTCCCAGCCCTCGCCCTCTGCCTGTAATATCTCGACGCTTCCTGAGTCTGCAGAATAGATTCAATGAAGGATTCAACACAGACTTTTGATCAGATGTGCGGACTCTTGACGTAGCTGACAGCAATATCCACGGTCAGACACCAAGATGGACCAGGATTGGCCGCTCTACAGGTAAAGGACTAGCGGGGCTCGAACCTTCAAACTCAGACAGCTGTTTCAGCATGAGGGGGTTTGACACACTTTCAAGCTTACGGTTAGGACAAGGAACACCCGCGCAAGAGTATGGATCAATGAGCTGCCCTTCTCATACTCCAACACGCCACATGTGGATCAGAGCGCACCTTCTCCCTCGACGTGAATTGTGCCAGTCCCGGATTCAGTTTGGAACCACGCTTTGGTTTTGCCCTGAGCACAGCCCTGGGGTTCACACCTTTAACATGCCCAGAGTTTTGCCTTTTCGCGTTGTTGCTAAGTTCTGCTCAAACAAAATCTTTGGACATTTGCAGCAGCTTGAGGTATCGCATAACATGTTGAGGACACTCTTGTTCAAAGATTGCCTTGTTGCCTTGCTTTGCAAAAACTACGCCTTCTGCCATGTGAGCTCTTTCCACAACAAGTGAGCCACGCCTTCTCCGCAGAGCTGAGGCTGTTGTAGAGGTGTCATCCATCCTTGCCAAGCCCTGCTCCTTTACTTCATGCGGACTCTGGTTTCGCGAGGCCTCCATACCCGGCATGCGAGTGGCCGTTGCATACACCATCTCCTTCGCCCGCCGCACGCAGGCGCCATGGTACCGAGAGGCCAGCGGCCAGCGGGTCAGCGGTGCGTGAACGATATCACACGCCATGCATCTGTGATCTCGACACCCGGACCCCCCTTGGGCTGCCTTCCTCACCCCAATGTGATGCCACCGCCTCGAGGGTGGCAGGTGTTTGTGGTTGGTGTAGCCCGAACACTTGGTTGGCGAGGGTCTGAGGGTTCGAGGGTTGGTCCTTCAGTGAAAGCAGGCCCCTGGTGTGAGAGTTGCTAGGCTGGCCGCATGCCGAGCCCCAGAGCTGCGTGCCCCGTTCTGGATGGGTTTTGGATGACCAAATGGCCGTGGCTGAAAACATGAAATCCCCAAGTCGCACCTTGGCAAATGGAAGTGAAGACCCAAGCTTCTACTTTTTGAGTCCTTGGAGAATGGCTGGAAATGGGGCCCTTAGCGCAGTGCGGCAATGGGGAGAGACTGGAGCTGCCTCTCCTTTACGGGGTCGCGAAGCAGACAGGAGTGAGATCGCATCACTTGTTGGTTTAACACTTCGAGTTTGGGGTGCTTTTGCCAGATGTACCCAGATCGGCAAGCTCAGGTTCATCTTGCTCCCGGAGCCAATAGAGCTCCTGCTTGTTCAGGAGGCATCTTCCCGGCAAATCTAGTTTTGGCTCACGTCTTTTCGTTGAGACAGACAGAACACACATCCTTTGACAATTACATTTTTTTTTTTTTTTTTTTTTTTTTTTTTTTTTTTAAATAATAATAATAATAATTCCGGACATTCTGATTCAACATTTCATGACGTTTTCATAACCAGCAAACACAAACTTCTTTGCCATAGACAACATCTCGCCGAGCTTTTCTTTTCTGCGTGGAAGCGACTTGACCGATGCTTGGCTTCAGGTACGTGCCGGGCCCGCCGCCGCCGCCGCCGGCGCCCGCGCCGTCGGCGGGACCGGCGCCAAGGCCGGCCCAGCGGCCAGCCCTTGGCTGCATGCTTAAAGAATTCTTCAAAGATCCTTTTAGGTTTCCGTTGCCTGGCCTGTCCATGTTCTGACTTCTGACCCCATGCTGAAGAGTTTAACCTTGAGTGGTTTAGATGGAAGCCCCCACCCACTAAACCAACTACACACCTGAAAAGCAAACTAAGGAACTGGACGGCTGGGAACCACGTTACCTTGGCCCAAGCCGATCAACTGGGGAATGCACATTGGAAGGGCGGGATGTAGCAAAACATTGTCGCATGGTCAACATGTTCATTCGACCATGCAATCCAGGAAGATACCCACCGGAAGGTCTTTCCATGATCAGGTCTGATTAACTTTCGCTCCTTGGCTAGATTGCTGACACGAGGTTTTCCGAGGTTTCGGTTGAGCTTTGTCTTGGTTGCGATCTACAAACAGGTTTGACCATCGGAATTCAGCACCAGTCAAAAGGTTGTTTCTTCACACACACACACACACTCTTGCCCGATATTTGCCGGGAGGGTTGATGGTCTGAGAAAACATAAAAGAACCAGAACTGCGGGGGAACTGTGCTGGGTTCATTCGACAAGTTCAGACATTGGGCGGGACAGCTAGTTCAGAAGTGGAAGTGTGCGAGCCCTCCCTTGGACTTCTGTGCCGTCCCAGACACACCGTCACCACTGGAGGTCTTGGCTAGCGGTTTTCATTGGATGCCTTGGAAAACAAGATCAAGCAAAAGAAACCGAAAGCCAAAAAGCCATGTTGGCTCCTCACATAGATTGGCTCATGGGGTTGTGAAATCAAGAGCACACCTCTAGCCAAACGATCAGACTTATGCATATCACACCAGATGAATCTTGTCTCAGCTCCTGGTTGTCCCATAAGTTGACACTAGCCTTCTACCCACACGGCTCCTGTCCGTTTGGCCAGGCGGGATCCCAACGCAGGCCAGCGGTAGTGGAGAGCCAAGACCCAGGACCAATCTCCCGGCAGTTCCCTCGGTTTGAACTTACGCCTCGCGATTCCACGAGATGACAATGCTCACCATGAGCAACATGTGCAAACACCATGTACAGGTCATTGGGCGGTCACGTTCCTGATTGAATGATGCTGAGAACATCTGAGACCAGCAGCTGCCTTCAGTGTGTGTTTTCAGGCCCATCGGATTTACCAGTAGATGGGTCAAGACCACAGCTCACTGTACTTGGGGCTAACAAAGAAATGGTGATGAAGGTTGCAAGAAGAATCAAGAAGATAGACATGAATCGAGACGACCATTTAAGAGGTCCTACTAGGGGAGCAGTAGCCAACCGCACTGCATTGCACGCCATGTCAGAGATGAGCCACAGAGCAATCAACGTCGTCGAGTTGCTGCTGGCTCTAGCCGCCCAAAAGTTAAACGCCAAATGCACGCAGGTCTACATGCAGGCAAACAGTTCGTTGAATCCGCCAGTCTCAAGTTATTCATGAAGCTTCAAAGAGAACGTACTCGTTGATCACATTTAGTATTTGTATCTGCACTGAGCGACTCAGGCTTCGAGCGCCATGAGCGGCAAACCGAGCCTGAAGAGTCTTTTGAAGAAGGGCGAGCTCTTGGTTTGCCCCGGGGTCTTTGATGGCATTTCCACTCGCCTGGCTGAGCAGGAGGGCTTCCAGGCCCTCTACATGACAGGCTTCGGCACGGTGGGCTCCCACCTGGGCCTGCCGGACGCAGGGCTCGCCAGCTACCGCGACATGGTGGAGCGGGTGCGCACCCTGAGCGCCCTGAGCTCCGTGCCGATGGTCTGCGACGGGGACACGGGCTTCGGGGGCCTCTTGAACGTGGACCACACCGTCAAGGGCTACGAGGCCGCGGGCGCCGCGGCGATCCAGCTGGAGGACCAGGAGTTCCCCAAGAAGTGCGGGCACACCCCGGGGCGGAAGGTGATCCCCTTCGAGCAGGCGGTGGCCAAGATCCGCGTGGCGGTGGCGGCGCGCAGCTCCCCGGACTTCCTGATCGTCGCGCGCACGGACGCGCGCACCACGCTGGGACTGGAGGAAGCCTTGAGGAGGGCGCGCGCGTTTGCGGAGGCAGGCGCTGACGTGCTCTTTGTGGAGGCCCCTGAGTCTGAGGAGGAGATGAAGGTCATCTGTGAGTCCTTGGCGGACACGGGGAAGGCCCTGCTGGTAAACGCCGTGGAAGGCGGCAAGACGCCTCTGCTGAGCAAGCAGCGCTACATCGAGCTGGGGTATCAGATGGCCATCTACCCCGCCACGGGGTTTCTGGCCATGGGCCAGGCGCTCAAGGAGGTCTACGGGAACCTCAAGGCCCAGGGCGACTCCTTGGGCGTCAGGTCCAAGCTGACAGACTTCAAGGGCTTCTGCCTCTCCATGGGCTTCCAAGAGGTCTGGGACTTCGACAAGGCCCACGCAGACCTCGAGGAGAAGAAGGCCGGCTACGCCTGAGCCTGCGAGAATTAATCAGCCCTCGGCCGCCAGAAGCGCGGCCGGGCCCCTGAACGAAGCACAGTGGTGGGGGGAAATGGCGCTTCGGCGCCAGGGGGAAGAATGAACGAAGGAAAGCATGCGGGACTGGTTTTGGGAGTGCTTACAAGGTTTTTTCAACCTTTGCAATACTTTGCCGCACGCACACATACACACACATGCCCACAAACAATGATGCCGGGATTGGTTCAAGGGAATGGTCGAGTTTGGGAACTGGGCGAGCATGGCGAGCATGGAGTTTTGGCTTCGAAGTATTCACCTTTGAGAGCAAGTCCAAGCAGATTAGAACTTCCTTTTGGCTTTCTTGCCTTCCAGCTGTTGCTGTTCCTTTAACACGTGCTACCGTGCTGAGAGCCTGTGCCTATTTCAAAGGCAGGGTCAGGGAATGGGTGGCAACAACGCTAGACTTATTACCAAGTCTGCTTTTTGCAGCCACCATTGTCATTCCAATCTCTTTCTGAACACCCACTGTTTGGTCAATTCATCACTCCTCATGTGCACAGAGGCTTGGTTCCGTCTGGAAAACAATCACGATCTGACAGGTTGTAGCTGACCATGATGCAGTTCATGTTTCCTGAGCATTGGTGTTTCTTTTGTGCAACTCCTTTCAGCTGTTGAAGGGGTCAATGAAACTCAGCTAGGCGGCTTCTCCTTTGCGCCAGGCTTCGACACCTTCGCAGGCCGGATGGGCGCGTGTGGTGAGTCTTTATATGTCGGCTTCAAGCACCCCAAGGGCCGTCAGCTTCAAAACCTAGGTCCCCCGAGTAGTGCCCTTTTACCCTTTTTTGGGGGAGGGTTCCCCTACTAAAATAGCCTACAGAAAAAGGGTACCCTAACTCTAACCTCTATACTGGAGGAGTTAGAAACGGACGCTGAACATCTGGTCCAGAAACCAGGGATGGCCAGTGTGGAGGACAGTTGCCATGGCTCAAATGGGGAGTCCAGATGCACTCAACAGCGCTAGTCTTCTGAACGGAGAGCTACAGAGTCCTGGGCAGTTTGGGCCCTTTAGCCAGGCTATTTGGATTGACCCATCCCTAGCCCGACAGGTTCTTGTTTTGTGGCTAGGGACACGCTGGGAGCCCCCATTTTGATGGGGGCAAGGTGAGATTCTCGGTGCTTGCCTGGAAGGAACTGGCCGTTGATTGATGTTGAATGTCTTCCTTTGTGTCCCGTGATGTTCACTGTGTTGCTTTGCAGTTGTTCTGTTGTTGTACGTGTATTTTCATAGGCTTGAAGAGAACGTAGGTCTGCTAGCCCCACGCGCTTTTGCCTACCAACTGTCTCCAGATCCATTTAACCCCTCCCCCCAGATCCATGGCATACCGAAAACACAAGGGATGGTGCAGCAATCCGTGTAAGGTTTGGGTTGAGACCATCCCTCAAGCCCTTGGAGTCAAATGGCCATGGGGCATAACCTATTGCTCCATTTTGGGGTGGATGAACATCCATTTGCCACCTATTTTGATGTTCACCAGGGGTTTCTTTGGGTTTTGACACACAGCCAAATGGGGCTGCGGTTCCAGTCGGCCCCCGAAAACCCCGCAGGCCGCGGCCGGCCCAGTGCCTGGCTGGAACGGTCCACCGGGGGCGGCGGGCCCCTGCCCAGTGAGGCCTTCGGACGGCCTGACGCCCCTTGTGACACCCCAAGGGTTGCGTGTAGAGTGCACCCACGGGTGCCATGGGTACAGCAACATGTCGGATTCTTTGGTACTGATGGTGCCAGCAAACTTGAAGGGTTTCAAAGTTGAGGTGAAGGCATTGAAAGAGCCAAGTCTTCAAGGCAAGCCACAGACGTTTGCCCCAGCACTCCCTGTGAGGCACGAGACGACCGGCGACCTTACCGCAGAGACGAGGTTGACATGATCGTGGGTCTGTGAGCTCAATGCAAAATGACATCCGGTTTGTAGCATTCAACTCACGGAATGCAAGGCCTCCAAGTTTACGAGCTTGGCAAACATACTTGACATTTGCCCGCTTTTGAGGCAGCGCTTTAGATGCAAAGAGGTCAAGAACGGCAGGTGAATTTCTTGGAGGGACCTTCCTATGCTTGCTGCGTGAAATTCTGAGAATTGTCGCGCAAGCCTTGTACAGAACAGATCGTTGGGGCGAGAATCTTCCAGGAGGAAAGCTGCTTGTTCAGGCATTGTGGGATACCAGCATGCTGAGGGCCATTGTGGGAGTACCCTTGCTGCGCCATTGCGCCATGGTCTCCCGCAAGCGCAAGATTCGTCAGTAGTCGGAACGAGCGGGAAAGCGCGTAGAAAGTTTCAGGAGGTTGGGAAACTTGTTTTGGGCCAAGTGAGCGGGAAAAAGCAGGATAGCGGCTTCTGGAACCTTCGCAAGCAGCGGTCACAACACGCTTTCCTGGAGCGGTGCAGGGCGAGAGTCACCGGCAAAAAGGGCGCTTTCTGGGAGAGTATTTGCCACAAGACGTATTTCCATCAGCATGTAGCCGAGGCATTTAGTTCGCAGGTGCCCTCTGCACCTTGTCGCCTGTTTTTTTGAGGCTCGGTACCCGTGAAGGGTGGTGTTTGAAGGGAAACCAAGAGGAACTTCTCCCCTACATAAAGACACACACACACATACTCACACACACACACACATACAGTGCCAAGGATATCTGGGAGCATTGTCTTGGGAGATCTCGGCCATGTTTGAGACATGTGCTTGTCGGACCGTCCATACAAGGGAGTAAGACACCGATGGCCATCATGCAGCAAGTCGTGACAAGCGCAGAGCATCGGACCGACTGCCTCTTGCCGTTCGCCATGCACTCTTCAGCATGGCCACGCAAGGCCGGACAGAAAGTGAGCCCGTCTTCGCCCAAAGCCGTTGACTTTGGTAGTCAAGATGGGTGATCTGGATCCACAAGCTGCAAGTCTCCTGCGTGCCATCAGGGTCATCCCAAAACGGCAGCAGGCGACAGTCAGGATGGACCCATTATTCTTCGAGGGCGGGTGGATGAATCTTGGCGCCAACAAGCCGTTGGCTTTGGATCCGCGGGCTGCGTGCCATCAGCCTGAGGGTTCATGTTCACAGCGAGCCACGAGCGTTTGAGCCAGGCGTCGATGATACCTGCGGTCATGAGGAACGACCCCTGCCTGGCCGCTACTCCCCCGCAGTCAGGGCTTGGGCTGGCGCCTGCTGGAAGCAGGGAATGGTTTCAACAGTGGTCAACCTGTTTGCGCATTCAGGCAGCCACCAATCAGCGATAAGTGATATGGCCTCGCTTGGTTGATCTTGATCCCTCAAGATGCATTTCAACCCAGGATTGTATTGGGTAAGTTCAGCAGTCCTCCGTCTTCGCCGCAGCGCGGATGAGTTTGTGTGGGGTGCTTGCGGGCGACAAAATTGTCAAACCATTCTGGACGCAGGGTACCAAGACCAGCCGCTTTGGGGGATGGGTGGGATAGGGTGGGGAGGAGGTGGGGCGGGGAGATCCTTCAAACAGTCGCTGAAGCATCGGATCGCTTTTGATCCGCTTGACTCTGCTTGAGCTTGGCCGAGGCGCGGCCACAGCTGCGCCGGGAGATGGAAGCGTGGCGGGAGGGCCGAGAGTGCAGAGGGATCGCGGGAACTGACTTGCTGTGGATAAATCGATATCAGGCCCCCTTTGTTGGCCTGGGTTGAAAGGGGCAAGGGCATCTACCAAATCACGAGAGAGAAAGAGAGAGAGAGACATATCATGCGGCTCCGATCCTCGATGCATCGAATCCACCAACTCCCTGAGCCAAACTTCTGAGCCTTTCCACCTTGCACCCTTGGAAGTTGACGGGTCCCAAATTCCGCTGAGGTGGGCAGGGTCACTCTGGGACCCTAGGAGCCCTGCGTTGGGGCGCCTGCCTCAGGCGGCCTCAGGCGGCCTCAGGTGGCTAGGGCCAAATGCCATGAGATCACGTGCCATAGCCACGGGAAGCAAAGGCCCTTGACTTGAGGCCAGTCCCAAAGACTTGAGCATGGGAAGGGCGCATGCCCTTCCTTGACCGTGGGTGTGGCACGCCCCCAGAGTTTTGTTTGGAAGTCCCCATGCTCGAGCCGAGCCGAGGTCTGGTGAGTTCTTTGGCACCGACTTCACCTGCAGCTCGAGTATGAGAGACGTGCCGCACAGCTGATTAAGACACATTTTGGCATATTTCAGCATGGCCTGTGGAAGGTTGGCTCCTTCCCGTCAAATCTCCCACGACGTCCGCCGCCCCTCCCATCCTCCTCCTCCCCCCCCCCAAACCCGCCGCCCGGTGGATGCTTTCGATGCTGAGGCTCGCGACGCTGCGGCGCTCGGACGGCGAGCGGCTGTCCCGGGCAGCACGGCGCTTGGGAGATGGTCGGCACGCAGCGCCTCCATATCCAACTCAGACAGCTTCCAATTGCGTGGCACAGACACTTGCAGGGGCGATCGCTCGCGAATAGCAGATCCAGTTAAGCTTGTTTGGTTGTCTGCTTGCATTCTTGTTTGCATTCTTGTTTGCTTGCTTGCTTGCTTGCTTGCTTGCTTGCTTGCTTGCTTGCTTGCTTGCTTGCTTGCTTGCTTGCTTTCTGCTTTGTTGCTTTCTTGCTTTCTCGCTTTCTCGCTTTCTCGCTTTCTTGCTTTCTTTGCTTGCTTGCTTGCTTGCTTGCTTGCTTGCTTGCTTGCTTGCTTGCTTGCTTGCTTGCTTGCTTGCTTGCTTGCTTGCTTGCTTGCTTGCTTGCTTGCTTGCTTGCTTGCTTGCTTGCTTGCTTGCTTGCTTGCTTGCTTGCTTGCTTGCTTGCTTGCTTGCTTGCTTGCTTGCTTGCTTGCTTGCTTGCTTGCTTGCTTGCTTGCTTGCTTGCTTGCATGCTGCCTCGTTTGTTTGTTTGTTTGTTTGTTTGTTTGTCTCAGTCCGTGTGTTCTCCAGTTTTCCGAACAGTTCGTTCACCGCTTGGGATGTTCACTTTGTGCTGCCTCCGACGGGCTTGATATGGGGCTGTGTATTTTTAGATCAGCAAGCCTCACGCAGTTTGAGCACATGCACCATGTCCCCAGTTGCGTGTGTCTTAAATTGTAAACGCTTCGTGCTGCCCACCTCGACCAGAATGCTTTTGGCTGGCTTTGAGGTACTTTTTTTTGCCTTGAAGTGTTGTGCTTGCTTGAAGCTCTGAGGATGTTTGGTTTCCTTTTCCCTTTAAACCAACCTGAAGGGGACCACAAAACATAGAGTGACATACCCAGTTCTCGCGGCACGGTCCAGGTGGCCCAGGGAGACCTGCAGAGCACCCGCTCGCTGCGCAGAAGCGCGGGCGACGCCCGGGCCCCGGCCCGTGTGGGGAGTTGTCTTCAAAAGGGGCAAAGGAGCAAGGGGCTGGGGGGGGGGGAGAGGATTTTTTGGAGGGGCGCGATTCTGGCAAGATCCTTGTGGCCTGGTAGGGAAGTGATGTCAGCCTTGAAGAGAAGCAGTTTGGCTCCTGCATCATCTGATTTAGCTTTGAATGGGGTGGTGGTTCAAAGGTGGCTTGCTTCAAACACCTGTTTGGACCATACAACTCAAAGCAGCTTGGTTTGCACGGTGGCGGGGCAAGCAAAGGCATCGGTTCGTTCCTTTGGTCTTGATTAGCACGCGCGCAACTCTGGCTTTTCGGAAGCGAGCTTGCGATTCGTGGGTGCAGGCATTCGAGCGGAGCCAGGGTAACTTGTCAACATACTTCTGAGAAGGTCGGAGAACCTTGATTGGTGGCCTGATTTTAGCCTTTTCCTCGCAAAGTTGCTCGCACACCAGCAACAACCACCAATGCACTCAACTGAACACTCCAGGAGGATCCCCTCAAGAAGTTCCCAAGTGCAGATATTGCAAGAAGCCCAATGTAGTATGCTCGACTCCCAGGTCTTGGTGTTTAAGGAATCACCTCGGCAGCATCAATACACTCGGTACACCTTCCGCATGAGCCAGCATTTTCTGGGGCTGGAACATGCAAATTAGCACAGGAACCCCACGAAGATGCTCCCCAAAGGGAGTTTCCTCTATAAACTCAGCGCCTGAGTTCCTGGGAAGCTTGACCAATGGGCACCAGGCCACGCCCGCGCTCCACCTGGCACTGGAGATCGGTGCAGCGCCAGAGGCGCAGAGGGATCGATTGGGATCTCAGGAATCAGATGAGGCACAGCCGCTCCCCCGAATGAGGTGAGGGTTTTGCATTTTTGCCTCATGTCTGAAAAACATGCGCAAATAGCCAAAGGCCGCACAGTTGCCGGCAGGTCCTCTCTAAGCATCGTCTCTGGCGGATCTTCGTTGGTTGCGCGTCCTTCGCCTCTTCTCCGATCCTCTGCTCGTTCCTGGCCCTCGAAACCGGTCGCCCGAAGCCCGCGAGACCGTGGACTTGTTGGCCGCCGCCTGCGACCACCTCAACGTGTGGCTGCCGGAGCCTGTGGTGGTGACTTGGGCCCGCAGCCCCGGGTGGAGGGCCAGGGGGGGAGTGGGGGAGGTTGGATCGCAGGAAGGAGGAGGTGGTTGTGGCGCTTGGGGTTGTGGTCGTGGTGGTTGTGGTGGTTGTGGTGGTTGTGGTGGTCGTGGTGGTCCTGGTCGTGGTGGTTGGATGGAATGTGGTGGTTGGATGGAATCAATGGGACCGACAGAGGACATCACCAGCGCAACGCGGTGCTTTTTGGAAGACAGCTTTGCGAGCAAGAGAGAGGATGCTGAGAAGCCCAATGCGCTATTGGGCAACAAAGACTCACGAACCTCGGTCGGCCATCCGAGCCACACGAGCAAGCGTGTGATCGAGTGTGTCTGCTAGCTGGGCTCAGAGCCCAATAGCTCAACTCACGTTGTCTTTGAAGTACTAGTACCAGATTCGAACAGCGGATGACTGGGCGCCTTGGCTGCAGGGAGGGTTGCGGGGAGGGCGTGAGATGTTATTTCATGAAGCGGAAGGCACCTGGAGCATCCTGGAACTTTGTCTTCCTCTTGTTCTCCAACAGAGGGTTAACCTTTTGACCTTTTTGTTGACCAGCAAAGAGTTGCGGTCGGGCTTGGAATAGAGTTGCACTTTTGCCAGCTTCGTGAGATGCCATGGGCCCTTGCGCTGACATTGCGAGCTGGACCCGAGGATTGCCGTGAGCCTCTGAGGTCATGGCGGCGGCAGCAGATTGCAATCTGCTTCATCCTGCTTTTGGCCGGTGAGGTGCTCAGAGGGCGTCACTCCTTTCACAGCACACCTCCCCAGTTTGGTTCAGCCAAGAGCTCGAGACTTGGTTTCAACATTTGCCGGTCTATGATAGATGTGGAGGCACGTGAGGACTCGCGCAATTTCCCATGTCCGCTTTGGGGGAGCAAGTCCTGGCTCACTCCTCCCCGTTTTGCCGTGACCTGAACGTGCTCGCGGCTCCGCTCTCCGTTCGTCGAATTGCCCAGGCCATGAAGCAGTGCGCACGCAGCACGCGATCGAGGAGGCGACTGGACACGGGCCGTTTGTGAAAAGGATAGGATAGGGAGAGAGGCAAGCATTTTCGAATTTTTGGAAGCAGGAGTTCGGGAGCTGTCAGGATGCTCAGAAGCTGCGCTTGCCAAATCCCCAAGCCTCTGCCGCTTGTGACAACCCTTGCAAGGACATGCATCCATGACTAGTTGGGCTTCCTCAGCACAAGCGCTTGCCGTTTGGCGCCTTTGTTTTGGCATGCGACTCCTCAGCTTTCTCCAAGTCTGGTGAGAGTCTCACAGCGGCCCCTGGAGCCTTGATGTGGCCATGGGTCAAATCCAAATCGTACCCCCAGTGAACATCCCAATCCCCACTACAATCGACTAAAATGGGTGGTGAATTCACCTACCCCAAAATGGGATCCGATTGGTTTTGACAACCACAGCCATGTGTTGGTAGCAGTCCTGGGTGGACCACGCCAGCTGCGGTTGCGATGGGTTTCGGCTCGGGAGCCTCAGGCCGCGCTGCATGTAGGAGCCTCGGGCCGGCGCCTCAGGAGCTCCGCGCTGCTTTGGACGTGTGCGTCTCAGTTTTAGGGGACCCAAAGTGGATGGTTTTCCTCTTAGTTTAGATTGAGACCACCCTGAGGAAGGGCTTCCCCCCAAAAAATGGACACTTTTTTTTGCGTCGATGGGAGTCTTCAAGGACTTTCCTTTGCTTTCCGACCGGAACGTAAAGAAAACATTGATGCCATGAGTGCAACTCCATTCGCTGGGATCAGGTAAGGAGCAGGATCTCGACTGGGCAGGTTGCGCCGGGACCTCGGGTTTTGCACAACTCTTTGGTCATGGACCCCGGATCAACGGGCGTCACTCCATGGACTAGTTAAAACGACACCAAAAGACGAAGACATGTCAACAATCAAAGTTAAATTAACATATTAATATCTAAATGGTTCTAAGATGACATAAGCCAGTTTCCTTTTGCCATAGGATGCTTTGGTGAAAGTTTGACTAGGGGATGGCTGCTTGCGACGTGGCCACTTTGGAAAGGGCTGGGCATGGTACGAATCCTTGACGACTTGAATGGCTGCAACGAGAATCCAATTTTCCGGGTTCCTAATTTCTGATTGGAGTGTTCAAGTGAGTGCGGGTGACGGATTTTATGTTGGGGCGTCCGACCCTGTGACTTCTTTGTGCCAGTGAAAGCCCAGTGGTTTTGCAAAAGCCGCTCCTGGAAGCCTGTAGCTCCGATCCACACGCTTTGGCGCTCACGGAAAGGCATCACAAGTCGGCGCCTCCAGCACGGGGCCACCTCGGTTTCGATTGGGGATGCTCGTGCGGCACCAGAGGGGGGCACCACTTTGGGACCGAACCGCCGGACTGCCGCGGTTTCCGAGGGCAAGAAGAGCCTCCTCTGCAGCACGGAGGGCTGTGCCCGACAATATCTGTGGCTGGACACACCGCGGCAGAGCTGCCGCTACACGGAGGACTGGCCCTTTGGACTTGGGATGCGAGCCGGATGCCCATGTTCCAATCGCGGGAGTCAAAGCATGGGAAGCTGCAGGTGTACGTCTCGGGAAGGGTTGGTGGCTGGGCCTGGCGGTTTTCCTGGCTGAAAGGAACGGTTGTTGGCCTCGCTGAAATCCAGGGAGATCCGGAGCCTTTTCATACCGGCAGTTGGTTGTTGCGTATGGGTCGCTCAAAGTTTAGCCATCTTCACTTAGAGGAGATCCAGTTCCTGCATTTGTCTGACATACATCTCTAGACGTCTGGGGTCTGCTAGTTTGCTTGGGTGGAGCAATTCGTCTATATAGAGAGTCCAGGGCCTGTAGGCCCCAGATTTGGAGCTCCGAGCGTATCGCAGGAGTACAAGCTAACGCACAACCAGCCCGTCTTTCTGGACGTGGAGCTGGGTAGGTTGGAGGCGACTCGGCGCAGCGAGTCTTTCGGTGCGGAGACTCGCGCTGGAATCCCCGAAAAAAAACACCAAAAGGATGCGACTTGGGGGGTATTGCGCATCATGAGGTTCGCCGGGGGCTGGGGCGGGGTCTTCAGTTGAATCTGGCTGAGGCCTTTGACTTGTCGTGATTCTGCTTGGGTATGGTTGAGCCATTCAAGTGATGATCAGACGGCATGCATGTCCCTCACCAAAGGTTGCTTGCCAGTGACAGTGGTGAAGCAAATTCCAAGCTCATTCGAATCTAGCTTGTTTGGTGTACAGCTGAGGAGAAGAGCGAGAAATTTGCCCGGGCCTCGTGGCACGCCGGAGGGTAGAGATCCTGGCTAGTTGCGCTGTCGCATGAAGCGTTCGACGAGCCCTGCCTGCTCTGGCCAACTCAGATAGCAGATGCACACCCATGATCACTTTTTCACCGGTCCGCGGGGCACACTAAGAAATCACCCACAATGTGTGTGCCTCTGCCCGATGGCTTGCAGGGCTGCAAAATATGGTCAGACCGTCGGACCCAAACAGGCAGGCTGCACCCCGAAAATTTCTCAGGCATGTGGCTCCTCTTTCCCTTGGCGCTGAGGCAAAGGATGGCTGCATCATGGGAGGCCGTTGGTTCAAGTGCCAGCGGCGCGTGAAGCAGATGATCCGCATCTTGAAGTACGTGAAGAAGGCGGGTGCGGCAGCCCATTTTTGGAGTTGACCACCTGAGGTACAAGCCCTTGACAAGTAGCTAACCCGTGCACTTCTAGCACTGCACCACCCAGAGTGTGCTTCTCTTTGTGAGGAACGTTGGTGAAGCGTAGGAAGCCAGTGGGAGCGCGAAAAACATGCGGCAATCTGCACGTTTTGGGCGTGTCCTTTGCCCATTTGGCGTGCCCTGGGTACGTTGGCCCCCGCCCGCCAGTGTATTTTGGCGCAACATTTGGATCAACCAAATCATCCAACCGGAGAAAACACAACACAAAACTAATGCAAGCAATCAATTTGTTGTATGAGTTGGATCAACCACTCACATGCGCCAAAAAAAACGCGGTGGCACCACGGCGGGGGGTGAGGTAGGGGTGGGCCCCTTCTTAACGCCGCCAGGGGCTGCAGCAAGCGCGAGCCGACCCGACAAACCCGGCACACGAGATGGCCAGTAGTGCGGAAGTGAGGCCAGATGAGTCAGATTAAAATGGTCGACCCAGAACCATGTAAAGAATTCAGAAAGCGGCTGCAGCATTTATGGTTGGGATTATGGTTGGGATTGTCCCTTACTAACCTTCATCTACCCGGGTTTTGATTGTGGCTCCGATGGGATCCGGATGCAGCCCGCATAGGGGTAGAAGGGTGTCTCTTTCATTTTTGGGAACCCGCTTTTTAGTGGTTTTGAAGGGAAACCAACAGGAACAAACACAATTTTTGGGGTCCCAAAATAAAACGCCCATTTGTACAGGTTTGTGTCAACATAGGGCGAAGATGGTGACTTTCCGTGTGGTTTCCTTGAGCCAACCTAAACGTGTACCCTCAAAAACACACATATCCTCATACGGTGATGGTGTTGATAGAGGGCTCGGATTTTGTGGTACTCGGATTTTGACAGTTTCGCTCATGCGGTGTGCCAGCGCCTTTGCGAAGCCGGGAGGCAGCGCATGGTTCAGGTAGGCGAGAACATCGGCACAGGCTCCTTGCCGACACGTCAAGTGGGTGTAAATGAACCCATTGTCATTATGGACCCTTTGGCGGCTGATTTCCCACAAGTATGCCAAGGGTGCATATATGATGGACGTATACATTCTGCCTTTGATTTTGTGTGGATGGAGAAACATTGGGCTTGGTGGCTTATCCCAGTCAAAAGGGGCTTCATTCACTGCTGGAAGACCGAAACCCGTACATTCCGTGGCTCAGTCAGATACAAGGGTTGTTGGTCTCGTCATTATTTTGCCCTCTGACTTGGACCGGGGGCCAAGGATTGCGCGTCGTTTTTTGTTGGTCCTGGCCATCAGGGGTCGCAGAAATCGTTTTGCATCCGCAGGGCTCGTTTTGTTTGCAGTCATTTTCTCGGTCGGGGGATCTGCTTCGCCCCAGGCTTC